ACATTAGTTTGTGCTAAAGAAACCCTTCACTGTATAGCACAGTCTGTACCGTTTGAGGTATTTTATGCTTGTGATGTACTTTGTTCTCTTTCCTAAATTAGAACGAGTCACTTAAAAACGCTTTGTACGCTATACAGAAGTACGTAGTCTAGTCTAATCGAATAACCGTTGGTTCCTTAGGCCTGCGTTCATACCGGATATTAGTATTTCGATTGTTAAAAGTAATATAAATATATTTGCGGTATTTGCCCAAAGTAATAATCGCTTTGTAATTCTAATCATATGATAGCCTCACATACTACAATTTTATCTCCTTCTTGGGTTCATTCATGACTAATGAAGGATATATAAGACAGGTCTGAGAATTACTAGTTTCTATTATTGAATTTAATAAAATATCACGGAGCTCTAGCCAAATCATCCATCAAACTGAACCGTTTACACGTTTGACAACTAATCACTTTACGTTGAACCGTTAGTCAAATATCGTCAAGATTATGGATACCCATAGCAGATGAAGGTTATGGAACTACGGAAGTACATTTAGTTTTCCTGGCTTTTCAAAACAATAAACTTATAATAACACGAGAAGTTAACAAATTTGAAGCGAAATACTTATTAACTGATGTGAAATCTTGTACCAAGGTAGCATTAGTAGGAATAAATTCTAATATAGTAAGCTAATCCACAGTAATGAACAAATCGCTTTTAGTTTTATGTGAAAAACCAGGTATGTTAATACTCGACAATTATCTGTTGAAATCATCCCAAACCGAATACTATTTCCAAGATTACTTACTTACTTAGGCCTGCTACTTTCCCTTCAAGACTCCAAGCTAGAGCTTGTCTCGTGATGCAGTTTGACGTTTTCAACATTGTATATCCCATTCAGTTCCAGAGTCTTTTCCTAAATCCTTCTTCAGCTAGAAATTGGTTTGTTCTCTCACGCAGTAGGTTGTTACTGATGGTACGCAGTCAACAAACATTCAGCATCTTACGTAGACAATTGCTTATGAATATTTGTATTTTTTGATGATGTTTGTGGTAGTTCTCCTATTTTCAGCCTCACACAGAAGAACTGTCTTGACGTTCGTATTAAAGATTGTGACTTTGACAATGGTTAACAGACAATTGTTTTGTGTTCCTTATGTTCTTCAGTTGTAGAAATGACGCCATTCCTTTACCGATCCTTGCCTTCACATCTGCATTAGGTTCTCCTTGTTCCCCGATGATGCTGTCCAGGTATGTAGAACTTTCTTTCTCTTACAGAGCTTATCCATCGAGTGAAATTGTGTCTCTGTTCTCCATATCGTATTTAAGAATATTTCGTTTCCCCTGTGTATGTTGAGGCCTACTGAGTAATACAAATCTCATAATTGATTTTGAGCTTTTCGCTGTATTCCGTGCCTCCACTCAGTTGTAGATGTCTTCATAACCTAGTCAGCTACTGGAAGAAGGGAAAATAGGAAAAGTAATCAGCCTTGTCTGACTCCAGTTTTCAATTCGAATGCGTCTGTCAGCTATCCTTTTTCACCACTTCGCAGTGTAATGCATCTCATGGATTTCAGATGATGTTAACGATCTCCTTAGGTACACCGTAGTGTCCATAATGTCCTACCATCCACACAATCCAACGCCTTCTCATAGTCAAAAAAGTTGAGGTATAGCGATGAGTTCCATACAATAGACTTCTCAACGATGATCCATAATGTCGTGATTTCGTATGTGCACCACTGATCCTTATGAAATCCAGCCTTTTGGTCTCGAAGTTTGGCGTCTACTGGGTCTTTCATAAGGTTCAGCAACACTCTGTTAAAACCTTTTCCTGGTACTGACAGTTTTAAGTCCTTAACTTATAAGATTATAATGAACTATGATTGCTGACTTAAATGACCAGACTAATGACGCACAAACCTGTACAGCAGCCTAGAGTTCCGATTGATCCTGTGGTGGACCAGACAATATATAAACGCAAAAAGTATCAACAAACTTAATAAAGATCAATAGAAATGTTAATATATACAAGTCAATTATTACAAATACAATAGAAAGTTGGGACTTTTCTTAAGTTCACCAAATTGATGCGTGTTCAGCTTTGGTCTGGTACTAGGAAACGTGAGCAAGACTTCGAATAACGCAACTTATCACTATAATCTTTATTATTGCATTCTATACTTACTCATTTTCATTTTTATTATCACCCATGTTAATCTATCACTGTGAACTTTCGTTGCTTCATGTCAATGTTGATTAGCATTTAAACTTAAATAATTAGTTCAATTGATGGAACTAACTGATCAACTACGCTTATAATTGGCTATCTTGGTTCTTTAACAAGCATTAGCAGCATGTAAATGCTCCTGTGTAATATGTCTGTTAAAATATCAATCACTCGTGAGTATAGCCACAAGACAACACGAACGCATATTTGTTTGTAACTTATCCACTGGTATAAGCGAGACAAGATTAACTGTCGACTATAAATTCATCATTCTGCTTAACCACTATTCACTAGAATGTTTTCTGATTGCTGGGTTCCATGGCCAAACAGAGGATACGAATGCTAGAAATTTACAGTGAGTTTGAACAATAAATTTTCTGCAGTCTTAGATCTCGTTTAGTTTGTTCGTCAAGCAATGCTATTTGTTTGGCTTGAATTAATTCTGGACTTATACAAATTCAGTCTATAACGCTGTATTAATCGAAAAATGTAACCAACAGTATACCGTACATAATCCAGATTCAAGCTAATATCTACTTCATATCTTCATTACTTAGAAGCAAGAGTAACACAGGCGAGTTTCATAATTTCATTAGATTATTTCATACTATGGTTATGATGCGTGATAACATTTCATAGTTGCTTTCACGTAAAGTAGTCATATATTCTGTCACTGCCGTCAAGTTTTAGTTGACATCATGTACATTTATGACTCGTTAGTTGACATACTGTGGTAAAACATATTACATGTACACGAGCACGCTTAGTTCATGTCTTAAGTACACACTTTGTCGTACTTAATATGTCACCTAGGGCTCTTAGCATCTTAGACATGGAATAACCAACAGGACGCATCTCCACTGACTGTGATGTTCAATATGTCACTTGATTAAGGTGTGTCACCTATGAACTGGAAGGACACAATCGTCACTCCTATGTATAAAACAGGACCAAGACAAAATCTATTGAAGTACAGACCTGTAGGTCTCACCAATGTTGTATTTAAAATGATGGAAGTAAGAGTCAAACAGACAATAATGACATTTGTGGAAGCCAATAACCTGGTGAATGGTGAACAACATGGTTTTAGAAAGGGTTTGTCTCGCCTTATAGTAAGGGAATATTGGATAAAGGCGATAGACAACGGGAACTCAGTAGATGTTGTTTACACAGACTACAGTAAGGCCTTAGACAAGGTGCCAACTAATAGACCGCCATTGAAATTAGGAAATCTTGGTATGGCCGGACCTCTTTTAAAATCGCCTAAGGATTCCGTAGTAGGTCGTGGACAGAAAGTAAGAATAAATTACAAGTGCTCCACTAGGAGACCAGCACTTAGTACAGTACCTTTGGGTTCCGTCCTAGTTCCTTTACCTTTTATGCTGTATGTAAATGATCTCACGAGTATAGTACTTCAAGCATACATAAATAAGGTGATTAACTGGTTTAAAGAGTGACTGATCCCTATCAACACAGCAAAGTGTATCTATGTGCATTTTGGGTATACAAAGGTTAATAGGTACAACATAGGGGAAGTGCCAGTACCAGTGGTCCGGTCTCACGAGGATCTAGAGGTGACATTGAGTCGTGGTTTTAAGACGGCGGCTCATTGCCGGGAGGTCGCAGCTGAGTGGTTTAGAACCCTTTGGGCTTCAAAACGGACCCTCACTAAGTTAGATTCTTCCATGTTCACCACAGTATACACAACCTTAGTGAGAACTAAGCTAGAGAACTGCGTTTAAAAGGTGATTCGGATATCCTAAAAAAGTACAGAGGGCAGCTAACCGTGCAATTCCAGAACTCCGAAGTTTACCATACAAGGAACGGCTTGGAAAGCTGGACCTCTTTACTATGTCCTATCGCAGACTAAGGGGAGATCTAATTTTGGTGTATAGAATACTAAGAAATGAGTTTGGACCCAACATATTCTCTATTTTCCTTCCCACTAGATAGGGACATCTCAGATAACGTAGAAGGCAAGTTGAAAAGCCAAGAACGAACAAAATACCCGTGGCATACAGGTTTTCACAACGAGTCATTATTAATTAGAACCTGTTACCCGAAGCAGTGGTGTCCGAATCCTCAATTGACTCATTCAAGAGAAGACCGGACACTCACAGAATCATACTAGAAAAGGAATAACATAGGTTTTAGGCCTTCTGTCCTTACTACACAAATGTGAACCTGACATTCGTGTGACCACATTCGGAATATAGGATTCAAGCAGCGAGTTCTTGTTTCACGCATGTAACGAATATACCGGAACAATGCCAACGACGAAGGACTAAAACGGTTAAAGGTCTGTCTGGCTTATCTTATGAGGACAGATTGAGACACCTCAACTTACTTCTGATATCGTAGAATACGGGGTGATCTAATGTTGGCTTTTCGTATACTGGACCATGATCTTGATATGAATGTCTCATATTCTTCTTCTGTATAGGACTGATCATTCGAAGGAAGTTCAAAAACCGAGATCAAATCATCTACATCTGGAGTTTCGTTTCTCTCACCGAGTAGTAAATTAGTGGAACTCCTACCAGAACACGTAATATCAGTACTTTATGTTGATATATTCAAAACGAGATTGGACTTTCACAGTGTTAAAAACTGCAAGGATTAATGTAGGTCGACAGACCTCTTATCTTTGTTACTGAAGACTGATTAGTGGAGGGTATTCGTCGTATACGCTACAAGGGCGGGATCGATTTGCAAGGTTTCCAGTACGAAAATGGTCACTTTGTAGCTATGAAAGTTACCTGCCATAATGCGTCTAGAGGTAATTCACTATAGATTCAGATTCAATGTTATCTTAGCTTGCAAATGTTCATTCATAGCTTCCTTTTGCACTCAACTCAGTTAATTTGAAACAGTAGTAGTTCTGCATTAAAATATTTATAGATTCCTTAGCCAAATACAATGCTTTTTATAAATGCTGTATAATCGCTCAGCAGCTACGATTCTTATTACCTGCGAATTCTATGCTGTTGAATAGCTAGTATGGCTACAAGCAACTTGGTTGACTACAAACTACAACAGTTAAAAGTACGTGAGACCACTTTGTAGACAATTAGGTTGTTCGCTCATTTAACTACAAAACACTTCCTACCGATTGTACATAACTATTGGTCAAGGCATGCGAATTCTATGCTGTTGAATAGCTAGTATGGCTACAAGCAACTTGGTTGACTACAAACTACAACAGTTAAAAGTACGTGAGACCACTTTGTAGACAATTAGGTTGTTCGCTCATTTAACTACAAAACACTTCCTACCGATTGTACATAACTATTGGTCAAGGCATGCGAATTCTATGCTGTTGAATAGCTAGTATGGCTACAAGCAACTTGGTTGACTACAAACTACAACAGTTAAAAGTACGTGAGACCACTTTGTAGACAATTAGGTTGTTCGCTCATTTAACTACAAAACACTTCCTACTGATTGTACGTAACTATTGGTCAAGGCATGTTAGTTTGCCATCTTTTTACCAAACCCCACTTACCCACATGCGTTCCGCATAGGATCGCTTTAAATATTATTAGTTCTTTGCATTGTGAAGTATTTTGGCCTGGTTCAGAACCATAAATTTCAAAAATTTATGAGGTAAAACAGTTTGGGACGTTGTGGATCGATTGCTGGAGATATTTTCCTAAGTTCCTGCAGTTTTTGATCAATTATGAATGGAATTCTCATACCACATGACTTAAACGTGCGTTCTGGTCGGTTTCTTATGAGTTCCTTTAGCTGTTTCGTTCCATAGTTTGTAAATTTAAAAATCTAGTTTCGGTCATGACAGTTAATATACTTAAAATACAAACTATAGATTGAAGAATGATACCGAGTTAGGTTTGCAAAAACTATAATTATCATTTGTTTACATTACTTGAAGTTTATTTATACTTCAATTCTGTCTATCGTGCTCAAAAGCCCAATATTTTACTATTAATGTAACAGGACACCAACCTTGTAGTATTGGTCATAATTTAGCGTCGAAGATCTTAATCGCCTGTGAACTCCGTCACTTTAAAATATATTAGTCTCTATTTTCAAGTAAATATGTCGGCATGTGAGCCGGGTGTGTTATAAGTTTTCAAATTGGACATTATTTATAACGAAACAAATGTTTTTTAATGTATAATGAGTTAAGTTAAATTGACAGATTTAACATTTGGTGGTTCGACATTGGACGCAGCTTTCGCGCCAGTTGGGACTCATCAGTTTGATCTATAGGATTTGATCGCCGCTAAAGATTAGGTAAACATTACTTATAGACCAGTCAGCTATAATTTACGGTTGTTACAATCCGTAACGTGTGATCATGACTACTATGATAATGTATGTATCTCAGAAGTAGCTATGAAAAAACTTTATGGGAGTTACCAACTCTCATTAGCAATATATATGACTGCTCTTTTTTGTTATATGCTAAAGGCTAGCAACCAAGTTTACTGAAGTAAAGTATGTTGGATCAAGATCTCTTTTCTTTATTCCTAGATACACACGTTTTAACACGCACTAACAAGAAATACGGGCCAAGTACTTGCCGAGTAAGACATAGACGACGTAACTGGAGCTCACACACTTCTCGTTTGTCACCATGTATAGAGGAATCATCTAAAGTTGATTGCATGGTAACCAGTTCGCTCAATGGTTCTCCTGAACGCTTATCATCGAATCCTCCTTCACTAGAAAGTAGTAGCTCGTGCAGTTTAGCCTCTTGTTATGGGGTATCAGCTCCGTTTATCCGCCCCTCCATGCCTCCTGGTCCACCAACATCACCTGTCCCGAGCCCGCCACCTACTCCTGTAACACTTGGTGCTGTTGTGGAAGCTCCAACAAATCCTGTTTCTGAACCTCGACAGCTTGACTCTATTCCTAACCTTCCAGCCGTACTCCGTAATCGTTTTAGACGACGTCGAAATGCTATTTGTGAATCCTCTGCTCTTGGACAGGGATTAAAAGACTTCTTTACTTCTTATGTGGTTTCTAATTTAACTGACTCCATGACATCATCACTAAGTTTGGGATCATCTTCTGCATGTCCCGTGTTCAAATCTTCATTACAACCGCATCTTCCAAACACAGTTTCACATTTGGCCCACAGCGACTGTGTCACATCACCTGTGTGTTTGATCGATAGCGAGTCACAATCTGAAAGTCTGTGATACAAATTTATCCTACCAGTTTTCAATTTAATATTTCACATTATTAGATAATTTTAACACGACCATCGGCATTTGTTTACCCTTAAGTATGTATGCATACTTTACCTGTATACGAGTCTTTCTGTACTCATTGCTCATCCTATGTAATTTTTTTCTTAAACATGCCTATAATTTCCACCTGCTACCAGCTAATAGCTGTGATTTATTAAAAATATTTCAAAAGTATTTTGTTTTTATATAGATTGTTATAACGCTCCGTTTTACTTCGTCTAATGTTATAAAGGTTGGGTTTCCACGTTTGCACGTATGGGACGTTAATTTACCTTAGACGAATATCTACACTAGATGCCCTCCCAGTATCCGTTCTCAGTCAGTCAGCTACAACGTAGGACCAGGCACATATGTGCATCGGTCCAGGTTGCCATACCGCATCAGCACACAAGATGAACACCGGATTCATAGCAGTGGTTAGGTCAAAGGACTTTAACATAACTCAGATCAAGAACACGTGATTAGCCTGACCACAACGTAAATATATTTCCACATCAAAAACCGACACAATCCAACAACAATGAACAATCAGTAATAAGTGAGTAATAATAATAAGGATAAGGGAATATATAACTCATCTGACACCTGTCAGACTATCTACATGTCTGACTAAGCAGACAACCAATCATTTTCACCCACACATCAGATTGTTACCAAATATTTTCATATATTTACTGCCTAAGTTGGCGTTTCGTTAAAAAAACTAATATCCCACCAGAATAGTTATCAGTAATTCCTTTACGTCCGAAAGTTGAGTACATAATTCTTCTGGTTGTGGTTTTGGGTAGGGATTCCAAGATGAGTTTTTAAATCATGGACCTGCAACGTTTCACCAAACTTTACTCAAGGCGAGGCCATTTCGTATATTTATGTTTCCCTGAATCTTATCTTCGATACCTTGTGTTTTCTATTACCGATGGTACTGTTATTACCTCTACTATTCTGGGATTAAGCCTGAAATTTTTATCTATCTTTGCCGTGTTATGGGGACTTGAACAGATGTACATATGTACCAGGTTCTACTTTGTGACTGCAACATCGCCACTATCTGTTGGAATTTAATGTGAATGTAATTGAGACTGTAATGGATGTATTCAAATTTATCCTAATTACAATTATGGAAATGCAAGAAAATAAAATAATGATAAATTTAAACTATATCTGCTCTTTAGTAAGGCAGAAATTAAATGAGACTCCAGTTCCATGTATATATCTCATCTAGGAGATCACTTCCTATTGTTTCTGCTTTTCAAGGCATATATATAGAACCGACCAGTTACCTCACAAACAACAACTGATTCTATTGAACGGTCATATTAAACTCACTAAGCAGTAGTCTGCAGATGTAGCTCTAAACCATTTTTTAAACTTTAAGGGCCAGTAATCCCACATGGTTGTTCAAATCAAAGTAGGTAGGGCGAAGACAGAACCTGAGATATGACTGCAAGGTAATACACTCCAATTGGGCGATTGGGATCCAGTCAGTAACTATGCTGTCTGTCTAGTTACACTTCTAGCTACATCCACACGAAGTTACCTAGTCCTCGGATACTTACAGAGTAAACTGCACTGGTTCACTACATCGGTTGAATGGAATTAAATGAACGAGTACTTCTGTCCACTCGTCTCATAAACGACATGACTCGCGGTGGAAAAAGTTTAATCGGGGGTTGACTGACTGGCTTAGAGTAGCATGCGTGCGTCAGTTACGACACGCATTCGGTATACTGGCTTCAGAAGGTGCGGTCACAGACTTGTAAGAAATTAAAGTATTTTTGTCGGAGGTGGAGAAGAAAAGTTAAGGTCGTAAAGGGGTGGCAATGTTTGGTTGGTTGAACAATTGGACAAGAAGAGGGTTCGGTCCATGCAATCACTGGAAAATCTGTCTGCAAGCGGCTAACCAATCTAGGTCAGTAGTAGGAAACATATCTTAATGCAACTGCGGTGAACTTTTGTTCATTTCTCAAAGGGTCTTACCATCAGTCACGGGAAGAGACTGAATGAGCAGAGGTTCAGCTTTTCTCGTCCCTTTTTTCATACCACCAAAGCAACATAGTCGTGGACTTTTTACCTTTGAAAAATTGAGCAACGTTTACTGATGGTGTAGGAATTTAAGTTGGGAATTTTCAGGCTAAAATAAATAGACTGAATAACTTTGATGACGGGACCACTGCAGCAACTAATTACATAATCTCCGTGGCTAATCATACAATAAGTTTCTCATCCAAAATATTCAGTTTGTACCAAACAGCCATTTCTTACCTGCATTTTTTTCACACCAGTAAAAAAACATAGAACTTATTTGAAGTCAATATTTGTCTTTTGCTTCCTACTTGTCTTCTTGACTAGTAGTTAATTATCTAATAAGCAACTCAATTACACCATTATGGACATAATAACTTTAATCCATTAATATATCCAATCACTCGGCTAGTGGTTCTGTTGTGTGAAATTTATTTGACCCGAGGTCCGGGTTACAATTTCACGATAAAACTGGGCGTAACCCCTACTTTGGCGTACGGTTGGAGCTTTCCTATCATGATGACCTCACTGAGCTATATTGGCTGAAACTCTCGTTACATTAAACCCTACCACACCACCCGGGTTGGAGATCGTTAAGATTAAAAGCTGCAAACTTCAAGTCAGAGGGCGAAGTTGTACTGTCAACTCTACGGGGGTGTGACAATAAGGAGTTTCCCTCATAAAATGAACTTCTCCCCACTATGACAGAGGGGAGCTAATGGAAGTCGACCTAAAAAGTAACACACCCCGTAGCTATTCACGATCACTCTCAACTTAGTTTCATTTCAAGTCTCAAGAAGTACCCTTCCACAGTGTGATAAAATAGCAAGTGACAAACGTCTTTATATCCGATAGAGATTCATACTTCGAAACAATTACTGTCTACTTTCAAAATTAGTATTTCTTAATTGTATTATACAATTCAGCTGATGACTAAATATTCGTATATGCTTCAATACACATCTATGTGACATATCATAAAATCATGGTTCAAATAAACACTTAACTGAGAACGAAACTTGTTTTTGTATATCTTTTATATATTTGCTAGAATGACAATAATATTATTATCAATCTCTTTATACTTTTAAAGAAACCTTAAAATGTAGTAAAACCGATATTCTGGCGCACAAAAGGAATAAAGGAGTGGAAAAGAAACGTTTAAGGGATATTAATTACACTTTCGAATATATTTTGTTCATTACGTATTTTACAGATAAGTAAATTTGTGTGCATACGAAGAGAAAGAGGGAATATCAGGCTACATGTTTTAACCGTAACCGGGGACAAAAAGCAACGTAGAATAATACCGACATACACACAAAAATAACAGAAAGATGGCAAACAAAAGCTAGCAAAACAAAATATAGGTTATCAGTATGGATGAATGTGTTGTTTTGTTAATATGGTGGGAAGAAAGCAATTCGAGAAAATAAACAAATAACGACAGCGTTTGTCATGATCAAGAAGTAATAAGCTCTGTTGTGTTAATAGGTTGATTGATAGGAGCGAAATAATAAAAAAAGAATGGCTTTAAAATGAATAGAAATCTGCTTATCTCTTTTCTATTTTGAAGTGTTTTATTGTAGAAAAAATGTAAACTGGAGGAAGCGGATAAAAATGAAATTCGAAAAAGAGGCATGACATCTAAATAGTAGAAAAATAGCACCTGGGTACATAAATAGATGTGAATAAATGAAATATCAATCGAACGTGTAGTTGTTATGATTCATAATGGTTCAATAAAAGAGGATACGACTTTATACTGGAACAAAAATTATCTATTCTATGCAAATGTGTGTTATATTATTCAATTATTCCATCTAGAGAAAAACGTAATAGGAAAAAAATACAGTCAATAACAATTTCACGAAGAATGCAAGTGAGATGGCTATTATATTCATATTACATTTTATTGAATAACACAAATGTGTTCATGTGTACATTTTTACTTGGATTCACTTATTCCCAATACCTGCATAAATTCAGCATATGACGTTAGAAATGGCGAGCTACATTACACATTTATTGCTTAGAAGAGTTAATCAGTAAGTAATTTTATTTGAATACAGTAAGTTAAACTCGTGCAACTTGCTTACCCGTAATTATACTGCTTCATAAGATGTGCTTGTTTTCAAATATCCTGCATAAATACCTGACGACAGATTTCGTGAAGCAGTTCAGAAAGTTTACCGTTTCTCGTAAAACAAATGTTTTAAAACAGAACGACCATTCATGACTAAATTTTATTTATTGAAAAGAAATAAACTACTGATAACTTTTTATTTTTTCTAGTACGTATTTTGCTTAGAGGATTTCACTGAGTAGTTGTCAAAGGACCGTTCTATGTTGTATTTTAGTGCATCATGAACATGATAGTTTTGGTCAGTAGTTTTGTTGTAAATGCTAAAGTGATGACTTCGTCAGTTCGTTGATTTGACATGAAATCTAATGATTTTAGACTGGTAACTATCGTTAATGTAAGAACTTCCAAATTGACAAGATTCTGTTAGCCTTCTTAGAATTTTCTCACATATATCCACACACGTCCAAAGTTGTTTTGCTTTTTTCAATAAAGTCCTAGTTAATACCTTCATATGAAAATTGAAATTAAGCAAATATCTGGAGTATGAACTGAATTAATCTACTCAAAGTCGCTAAGTAGTTTTAGTTAGGTGAATGGTGTTGATTGTCATATATTAAAAACCATTACACTTTATCACAATCCAAATGAACTTTGGCGTTATCGTACCTGTCTAATTATAAAATATTGGTTTTAAATTACTATGATCCAAATAGATTTGTACATTTTTCAGGAATGACAATATTCAACAGTTCTACTTCATATTTTGTTATCACTGAATGATTTATTGTACTTGCTATACATGCTATAAGTAATTTTGAGGTTTCCCAATGTGTTTAAATAAATTGGAGATCTTTGTTCAATCAGTCATAAGATATTGTAACATCGTCTTTAAGATCTTGAACACGTTTTAGGCACACTGTTTCAACATCATACCTAGAACTGCTTTCTAAAAGTCCGACTGTGTGGAACAAACAGAAAAGCATTTAAATAAAAACCATCATAGAAATGTTATATTTACTGAGGTTTAGTTTCAGTCACTTTAACACAACTCCTTAATAAGGTCCAAGAAATCACTTGTAATCCTGCTGTAACTTACTTTTATGTTCTTTAAAAATATTGTGAGATGTATTTAAGAGGTATGCAATTTATCATAAATGTATTTTAGATGAATTCTACTCTTGTTTTTGTTGCTATACTCATTATTATTTAATTCTTCCACATGTTTTTCTATTTTTTGTATCCTGCTCAATTGAAACCAGCATTTCAGAGTTAGGAATGAATACATTCTACACTATGATCATTTATCTTATGTTAGATACATATTCAACTTCTCTATGTGCATTAAGCATGATTCTTCAAATAAAAACTATTGACAACTTGTCTTAAAACTAGATTAATAAATCAAGAAAAAAAAGACACATGTTTAAAGATCGATGATTTCAAACAACCTCTCATAAAATAATAACACTACAATTAATCAACTTGAAGGAAAACACAAGAGAGACAAGAACAACATACCATAAGATTCATTAAAAGCTTCTTCAAATGACACAGAACTTCATGAATATTAATTATTATGAATTAAATATTGCGTAAGCAGATGTTTTGTACACAATAAATAGTTTGGTTGTTAATTCTATCCATCGCTTTCATCAGTTTGTCCAATTTTTTTCTTGCCTATCAATTTTTATCATTCTCATTATCACTAACAGCATTGAAATTTTTTATCTCGTTAGAATTCTCCACTTTATTTTGTGAATTCTCTTCAATTTGAAATGTTTCCATACTTGACTTAGTATTCTTCTCATTGTTGATCAATGAATTTTGATTATAAGGAAGATTGGATAGACTACTAGCCATCATCATCATATTATTATCACTGTCATATGTTGTATTGACTTGTAAATCACCTGGTAATGAGAATGTTGATAAATCTGAAGAATTATAATACAAATTTTGAATTATTGGTGAACTGCTTAAACTTTCATAACCTGATGGATAAAGATTTGTTATTGTTACTGCTGAAGTTGGAGCAGTGAACTCATCACTAATGACAACAGGATGACGTTTCATTTTTGACTTTTTTTTACCATGTCTCCGTTTAACACTCTTATTTGTCAATAAATTAACGTTTGATGATATATTTTCATTTGGATAAATGTTTGTATTGTTATTCTTTGTTTTATTTTTTTTAGAATTTTTGTTCATTTTAATCAATGAATTGTCTAACAATTCATGTTTTGGTGAAAAATTATCCATAGCTGATGATGGTGAAGTATCTTGACTGGGGAAATCAGCTTCTGTTAATACCGAATGAACTGGAATATTACCAGTATCAGGCAGTCGAAATAATCCTGGGCCGCTACCTCCACTAATATTAGTTGAACCTGGTGAGACGGTAGTAGATTTAACACTGAACTGCCATACACCACGATTACTGTTAACACTTGACAATTGTGGTAGATTGGTAGAACTTTTATCTAGATTCCAGTTAGTTTCCTCATCCTAAAATATAACAACAACAAGAAATATGGAACAACTCGAGGTTTACCCCCCCCCAAAAAAAAAAAATAAACAACTAATCGAAATATGAAAATTAACTGGTTGTTTCCGTGTCCTACTTTCAATAAGACTAAACCACATTTAAGACATAAGTATACACAATTTCTACTATTCTCTCGTTAAAATTATTATTCCATTAAATAGATCAATATGGAAAGAAAAAAACAAAAACGAGAACTCTACCTTATTTACTAATCGACTTAGTTTAAACTGCTGTTACTTTAAAATAATGTACAATGAAGCTAACAATGGGCAGAAAAAATAAGACATTAAACGCCAAAGGAAGAAAATATACAATGAAATAAATAACTGCAAAGTGTGTACCATATCCAATTATTCGGTACTTTGTATTCAACTTTAGAAAAGCAACTGTTCCAATGAACTGAGATGTAAAGAAAAAGTTGAAAGTCATCACATATAAATTTTTCTTATATATATGCACTCGTCAGTAACATATACCTGTACTACTAAGGGAACTGATGTTTTCAGGAGGATTCAGTTATGTGTCACCAAGCTTCACAGTCATAGACCCTACTATTGAGGTATTCGGGCTGAGACTGACCTCTTGTAGGAATGAGATGTACTTTGTGTTGATTGATGACTGAGTAGTGATTAGTGTCATGTATCTCAACTTGATCGACAGGATTCTATCAGGACCAAGAACGACTTGATATCAGAGTGTTTTTAGCATAAAAAAGCACTGAATCACCAATTCAAATACACAGTTTTTTGGGCACAAATATAGGGACCATATACCTGGTCAATTACAAACAGCTGGAGAGTTTTAAACTTGGACGTTATGCTTAACAATAGTTCTCCATATTCACAACTGCTGAAATTTTCTTTTTTAAGCAGAATTACAAGTCTCTTGTTACGTATATAACTTTCGTTATTGGTGTTATTGTGTGTCAGATATGAGGATTATTGGAATTCCCAGCCCCAGCCCCCACAAGTAAATAGCACAATTGAAGAGCTTTGGAATGAAGAGAAATGTTGGTTAGATGTCCTTAAAAAATAAGTTATAAAGCTTTAGCAGTGCAGAGAGCCACCTTTCCTCTCAAAGCTGCAACAATACCGTTCATTTACAATGAATTTACTGTTTATTTGTTGATTATCTTGAGACATAGGTCCTCAAACTGTCCCAAGAAACCCTGACTAGTGGAGTCAACTAGTTCGATAATAATGGTGGACATTACTAAGGATAAAAGGTGTTCACAGTACAGTATGAAGAGTTTCGAGTTGTAAAACCTCATACAATTGATTTCAAAACGTTGGTTAAAATATTCCTCACCAACCACAGAATTCACAGGTACACGGTTCTATTTGAGTAACAATGGAAAACTTAAGGTAAAGTGTTATATCCTGGTATTTTTTCTGGTAAGCGTTTTTTTAGCGAGTTAGTTTTCTACGGGATGGGGACGCTAACCCCATGCCCAACCCTCCTCCTTTACCCGGGCTTGGGACCGGCAGTAACCCTATGAGAGCTACAGGCGGAGTTCTTATATCCTAGTGAAGATTAAATTACAGATAACTTCCGAGGCCTATTAATGGACTGATATTATAAATATATTCTTATTGTATGACTATTCAGTAACTAGATTAAGTATATCTATATTAATCTTATTATAAACTTCATTTTGACCCATAGATTATTATTGTACGATTTACCGTTCTTAAGTTATGTTCAATTTATTGATTACAGTCTCCCACGTTCACAGCCACTTTTTGGCTTGATCTTGTATAAATGTTATTTCCTATTTTATGGTGTGATATGGTCTGTTTGGTTGGTATATAAACCAAGTATGTTTGAAATAAACGATTCTCATAGTGGAAAGTGGTATTGGTGTTTTGGACTGAACTGTGAGGGCTAGGAGGAAAAAGGACCAATAAGGACGCTAGGCTGCTCATACCTATCGAACGTCATTGGTTTGGCACAGTACTAAGATTGAATAAGTCGTATTTCGATTGGCGAACAAATCACGCAATAATTAGCCAGGCTTAAAATTACAATATAAAGCAATTAGAAACATCTAAGTGCTTCACACAAATATAGTAGACAATTAGACAGTTTCATACACATAGTTCCCTTTATCATTTTGAAAAGATCAAGACAGTTCAAGCCAACGGTAAATGAAATCGTAACAGGAATTGTAAGCAAAAGCATTACTCAAAGGTTAATTCATGTACAGGGTATTTATGGTTACGCAAGACCTTAGGCTTCTAGAAATTTCTGGAGCCATAGCAAATAGTAGCGGTGTAGATCAACATTCAGCCAAAACTGTGTTACATAATTCTTTTTTTAGTGTTTCTGAGATGATTCTATTCAACACCGATTGGTTATAACGTCTTCTAGTGCTTCTGGGTCTTTAGGGATGTTGACGAGGAATACAACATATATAAATAAAGGAATTTTAATAACAATCAAAAAAATAATAAAATACTCACTTGTATAGCTTCAGCAATCGACTGAGCCAAATCATCTGTACCGCGTCCAACTAAACTAGATAAAGAACTACCCAAACTTGAGTCTTGATAACTCCCTTTTTCAAAGTAGAAATAGAAAACAACAGATAGTATGATAAAGATGCATTATGACTGATAACTAATTATTAAAAAACCAACCAACTTTCAGTTACATAGCAGTCTTAGTACTGAAATAGATATAAAGTACAATTGATAAACATCCTTTTCATCCCCAAAATATAATAACGACTAGGATTTGCTGATATCACGAACCGACCTAAGTTAGATATCCACTGAACGTGTCGGCATTGAGGCAGGTATCCATTGAAGACCATGAGAGAAGGTCAAATAATATCGCTAAGTGATTGAAGGTAGATACAGACAACACTAGATTTTGGTTCAATGATCTAAAAGTTGAGCGCGAGATTGCAAGTTATCTACCTAGTTCCCGGCGCTGTTGTGGATGCCCACTGCCGGAGAGTCGCATACTACGACGAAACGACTGTCCAGTCCTTTATAGTTTCTAATGATTGTCAAAATAAGGTTTGTTCGTGATATCAATAACAGTCAGTAGTCCGCATAAACCTCCTCCATACTGATTACCACCAAATTACCAATTACAGATATGACTTCAATATATACTACTAGCATACAACCATCAAAACAAGTTGTTCGAGTGAAATTTATTTAATTGTTTCAGATCTTTTTTATATAAAAAAACTAGTAGATTGATAAAACGCGTATAAATCTGTTGCTTTCCAATGAATTTCTCTGAAGTGAACAACAAATAACTTTCTAATTAGACAATACAATTCAAAGTAACCACAAATTGACCGAAAAATAGATTTTATGACAGAATCAACAAAAAAAGATTCATATCATAAACTAAATGAAATATAAGCAAAGATGGATGGTGGCTAGCAATGGAATCCAGGACGCCAATAAGAGACTGATCAATTGCAATCCTAAACATCAATGGGAAGATTCAAACAAACAATACAAAATGAACTAAATAAAATATAGAAAAAAAACATTCAGACTAAACATTAGAACTTTCTATCACCAATAGTATACTCCCAGAGCTGAAAAATTGTTCTTAATGAAAGCGATTCACGTGAATTTTAAAAGTAACCCCGAGTAGGAAGGAAAGAACTATAAACATACTATAAATGGAAAATCATTTCAAACTTTATTGTTACATAATTTGGATGTTACACTTTATAGGAAAAAAGTAAACAGTACAATATATTGATCTATTTACTATTTAACAACACATAATTCATTATGTATATTTACTGAAGATATTAAAAATTGCAGTTAACAACTTATAAATAATAAGACCAAAAACAGTAAAGAAATTAGATAATGTCTTTCAAATGAATTAATTGTATTTATCCAATAATTTAATTATTAACAGATTTACATTTAAGCCTATTCACTTTGTTTCAAATAAACAGCTAATATCTATCATTTTCATATAATATGCAATTCAAAGTTTAATACACTTAACTGTACTTAACTAGTGAAGTGAATTCACCTTACCTTATTAATATGAAAATTATTATTACTTACAAAATCTGAATAATAAAAATTGAGATACCAAAAGAAAGGAATATACATGGGCTATAAAGTTAACTGCAACAATTGTAACGATTACTTCAAAAACGGTACAATAAGAACAGACACATATAGCATAATACAAAGATAGATTCTAGCTGGTACAACTTCGCTATGGAAATTCTTTAAACAAACAACTGGAAACGAAAGCAACTTACATAAACCGATAGTGATCGTTCAGTGACTGATTCTAAGAAGTGGATTCAAAAATAGCTTAGCTATTTAAAAAAAGCAAATAATTCAACTGAAATCTATAAAATGTCTGGGTCATTACAATTTTAATAACTGGAAAATCTAAGCTTTAAAAACCTGAATATAATGAAAGGTATAAAATCTATGCTTAAAGTTGAGTCATTTATGAGAAATTGAATCTACATCAATGAATTACAATCGGGAGGTAAAAATAACAGCTTCCAAATGAGTGATGAAGTTGGACATGTGAACATAATTCATGAGTTCTAGATGATAGGTGGATGGAGTATATTTAACACTATTAGCAGGTTATTACGGAATGTTAACTATTTTTCAGTATCCACTAGCAATCACTCAGCAAAAATTAATCTTATATATTTGTTACCACTTATCATCAATATAACGCATGTTTATAATTGAGTCAAAAAGGATTTGTTAATAAAGACTCTGAATGTGATGCTAAACTAAAGAATGTTGGAATATCAGAGTAAAAGGATTTTCATCAAAAGTTCAATAATCTTGAGTCTATGATGGTCACCGGCAAACATCTTATATCAAAATGAGAGACCGAAAATAATAAAAATTATCAAAACAATCACAACTTACCACCTTCAATTACAATCGCCTCACCACTTGGTCCAAAACCGCCAGCAATACTAAGTGGACGAGTTGGTTCACCTGACGAATTACGCCATCTTAACTGTGCACTATTGAAATTAGCATTTGAATCCAATAATAATCCTGATGGTAGCCTTGGTAACATAATTGTTTTGGATGAAGTGGTATTACGATTAATTGCGGCCAAAGCGATATTTGGATGATGTTGAGGATGCGGATGAATAAAAGCATGAACAGAGGAGGTAGAAGATGTCGAAGAAGAACCTTGATATGGAATCATATTTAAACTACTATTGGAACCATGTGATGATGGTATGAATGTGCCAGGATACCGATCTTTAATTAATAATTCATTAGTTATATCTACTATAGGCGGCAATATAAATGGTGCATTTAATGTGAATGCTTCTAAAAGAGTAGGATGTAATGCTGTTTTTAGATTCCCTCCAGTGGAGCCAATTTGTGTGGTACTAGGTATATTGTTATTATCTGAAGAACTACAACTATCGAATGATGAAAGCCGTAGATCACAACCACTCCAATCACGCTGAAACACATGATATTCAAGAAAAAGAACAATGACAGATAAATTAACACCATTAGAAAAAAGTTAATAAAATATATGCCCTACAAAAAATAAATATATGATCTAGAAAAAAGGTTATCCATTCAAAAACACATAAGAAACTCAATTACAGATAACCAAAGGTCTTGATTTATACACTTTCATATATAAGTTGTTGTATTAAACTAATAAATTGTCGCATTGAGAACAAAGAATCAAGTTAGATAACAAATATATACAGGTAAATAAAATCAGAACTAACATGAAAATAACGAATTTCAAAAAGTAAATAAATGAAAACAAATATTGAGTCTGCATTGAGATTGATATGAATTGTACAAAATTTACAAGTTGAACAAAATAATATACACAAGATTAAACAAATTATTGCAATAATACGGACACCACTACTATGTTCAAATAATAGTTCCTCATAATGTTTATATGACTGTAAAAGTTTATTTGTAAAGTTGAAAAGCAACTTCAAATCAACAAGTAGATAGGAGTAGTTAGTAAAGAGATCCTGGCAATCAAGATAAGTATATTTTGAATATTCAAAAATGTACCAAATACATATGAACACCAATGGTAAATATCTAAGACACATATGACATTGGGAACTAGAAATAATGAAAATATAGAATTGATTAAAATAGTTACACTGTACTATAACGCAAGAAATTGATCATCACAGTAAATGAAATGCACAGGTGTATTGCATATGCAGACTGATATGTGGTAGGGAAAGTAAAATATGATTGGTCATTGAGCGTGGACAGAATAGAAACGGTTAACTGACTATTAAATATGTGATTTCCTTTCATTGATTTCTGCTCTGGACTGAGTGTGACTACTTGTAATTGTACTGAACAATTTGGATCGTGAATCATGGTTCTGATAGAACGTGATTAGTCTCATTATTGTAATATGCGTGAGATTAAAAAATATTTTAAGCATGTGTTAAATCACAAACAATCTGAAGAAAAGAAATCACAATTACAAAGGAGACATGTATTGATGACTATAAGACAAAAACTAAAATTTCAGCCCGTAAATAGCTATTCCTCTTACAAGTACTTTACGTGATAAGAAACTAGGTCATCTTTAAAAAATCACTTGAAATAAATCAGATCCATAGTGAAACAAAATCAAATATGAATAACATGGATTAAAAGTTCCTCAGGGAGAGACCCTAATCTATAAAAGAAAAAATTAGACTAAAGATAGTAGGTCTTGGATTTTAGTGCCAGATTCATCAATTCATTTGGTTAAATAGCATTTTGGCATTATAGTTTATGTCAGTTCGTGATGAAAACCCCAACTCTAATTCCTAACCCTAACTCCCAACAGTTAATCCCAATCCTAATTCCTCACACAAATTTATAACCCTCAATTAGCCTTAGTAAGTAGGTGAACATTCTCAGAATCATTTAAGCATTGCTAGGTCATAAATAAATAATACCCACACTAAAATGTTTAATATTTTAGCATATCGGTAAGTAATAGTAGTAGTAACAGTAAGGTAGGTAATTATACTCATCATTTGAATTCGATTAATTTTAAAATGATAATAACATTATAATATTTAAACACTGTTAACCTACAGTATTATACGAAATAGGTGAGATAAAAGATATATTCAAAGAATAACTTATAAAACCGGAGTTAAACCCACCTATTTCTTGACATCATTGTTATTTTTTAAGTGCAAATAACTCTATACATTACTTCAATGCAATTATAAAATGAAATGAAAGGTTATAACAGTAACTATGTATTAATTCCTGGCATTTATTAAACGATTTCCTAATTTAATGTAAATAATCATCACTATCATTTAGCCATGCATTAAAACTAAAAGATCACTAGGCAAGTAGAAACACTTTGATACCTATTAGGTTTAAGAGGAGAGCAGCATAAATTCATTACTTACAGATTATGAAGAATATATCATAGTTTTTAATCTTGCATTTTCATCAGTTCAAGTGAGAAAGTTTATCTGATTCAAGAGAATCACATTTCAATAGCAACTAAACCTAAACATGAAATTCAATGATCCTGATCATCAGCTTTAGTATTAAAATTAGCAAAAACAAACGAATGTATGATAAGGTCAAAATGCACACATTTCAAGTTACAATACATCTGATTTTGATATATATATATATACAAACGGTTCCGAGTTATTTATGTTTTAAGTTATAAAAACAAATGAATAACAATAGACTGTCGTCATAAGGAGTGTTAAATTTCGAAAGCAAAATGTCTTTCTAGTATTTAAAATACACGACTAACAAATAAAGCAATCGCTAATGAAAAATAACTGTAAGTATTATTAAAAGAACCGCTGACTAGCTTGACTCTCATTGGTCAGCATAATATTTTGTTTTTTCTGTTAATTATGATTCCAATGACCTTAAGTAGACTGCTGAACAAACATATATCTACATACATATGTGAATGGTACAACCTTCAATGTAAAGTTATCTTCTCATTAATAATAACTGACCTACATGACACTGCTACTGATTAATATGGTAGGTTGAGTATATTCTATGTGACCACCATGTGACCTATTATCAGAACTATAGATCTTTATAATCGATCTGAAAAGAAGTGTACACATTGTATAAATATATGTTCTGAAAAACAGCATGAATCTCTAATAAATTGTAATTTATTTTTATCAAAAGATTTTTTTAATATAAACAAAATGAAATGGATTATCTGGTAATGAATTTGATTATCAATATGTAAAACATCAACTGTTTAATTGCATAATAACACAATGATTAAAAAAACACCAGAGATCAAATACTTGCAATTATCATAAGTAACACAGTTTCAACATTTTCAAGTTATATATGTTGAACGAATGAAATTAATAATGATCATGAAAATGTAAGAGAGTAATAATATCACTTGTTTTATATATACATTTTATTTTCGATAAAAAAAAAGAAGGATTTACGATGTGACATGGTCATATTTTAGCTAGTTACAAAGGCAGCTATTTCGTTATGTGATATTTGAATTTCAACAAAAAGAAAATGATTACTATAATGTTTTAATTAATAATCACAGACTATACATCTATTCACAAATCAGCATGATATTGTATTATCAGACTATTTCAAACAAATAGACAATATGCAAACATAGTACGATCTAAAGTAAATAACATATTGATGAAAAATGTTACAAGTTATAAAAGCATAGAAAGATATAAAAACCAGTAAGAGAGGAAATATAAATAAAGAAAAAAGTGAAATAGATAATATGGAAATCAGAAAAAAAAGATATAGAATGAAACAATTTAAGATCTGAATATACAAATAATGAGATTCAATTAACAATAATCCAATAGATATTGAAGATATTTTGAAAACTTACAGAGATTTTTATTGCTACAGTTTTATATTTGATAGATTAACCGTTAGTTTAAACTCATTCATAATTTGATTTTTTTTCGAATATGAATTATTTATAAATAAAATGTAGGAACCTTTGAATTACTGCTTTTTAAAAAGATATACTTATCACTAAGGTGTTTTTAGTATCTTTAATTATTATATTTCAAAAAAATTGCAACACTAGTGAAAGTATGATTGGCAAGGTTTGAGTCGGTAAATTGTTAATAAAGAAAAAATAATGATATATTTATAATATCCTAATGAATAGAAAAATTAAAATTTTTTGTCGTTTCGTAATTCAATGTAAACCACTTTCTTCAGAGAATAAATAAATGAGCAAATTAAATTAAACCAAGCTTTTTAGAGCATTGGTGATTCATTAACGGGAAAGCCTTTTAATTAAGCTTATAACAGAAGGTAGAAGTCATTAATTTATTTTAAGGTGTATGATAAATCAGTTGGTATTTATTTACTACCTATTATTAGTGGTTCGCTTAATTTATTTATCTCCTTAGTAAACAATCAATAACACATTCTTATTTAGTATAGTATGCAACAAATCAACATTTAACTTTATTCATTCTGGTAAACTTTTCAGTAAGAAACACTATCATAATACCAATATTACTAGTCAATGAAGTGAAAGAGACTTAAGGAAATATTTAGCTGTAAATAAACTGAGTAATTAACTAAGTAAATCCATTATAAAACCTAAAAACAGAAGATGGTGACTTACTACATTTAAAAACAGTACAACTAATAAGAGGTTGTGAAAAAAAGAGTAATGTGAAAATTGAGTATTCTTTGCTGAAATGGTTTGAGAATTTTCTGATCAAGTAATCATTAAAACAATTGTTCTGCAATCTTTTTTTAAAATTAGTTTACATTATAACTTGTCTTTTGGTTGATTAATTTTGCCATTTCTACTTTTCATCAACTACAATTAATTAACTATAAATTTACTACTCAAGCTTTGTATCAGAAATATTCAAGTTATGTACTTCTCATTATCTTTGAATTTTGATACGTTGTGAACTTGTGTGTTATTAATATAACTACATAAATGTACTGCAAATCACTCAATTAGGTCTCTAGTGTTTTGAACGGTTTAAGAATGACAGAATTCGTGTGACCTAAGGGCCATGTGTGACGAACGAAATACGTTCATAGATTTATCGCTAGAGGCGAAGAAAAGGTACAGCAGAAACTTTGCAGGTAGAAAAATCAATATTTTGAATAAGAAAGAAACATTAAGAAGAATGTAAGGGAAAAAGATTGTCCACTGTTGAAAGTTGAGTAAGTAACAAATTTATATGCTCCCTCTTAGCAGTCACCGACAGCTCTTCGTAAAAATTAAATTACGCAACTACTAATAGCCACCATATTTAACTTAGAGTTTCTTACACAACTACTTGATAAATAATCGACAATGTCTGATTTACAATCAAATAATAGTACGCATGTTTACGGTGAAAAGATAACACTGTGAGTGTACAAACGGTCATTAATCAAATTTATGTAAAACTAAGTCTTCATTCATTGCAGTACGTTATTCTGAGTTATTCCTGATTCACTGGAACTTTATCACAGTCAATAGTATGAATGTATGTGGTTTATTTGAAAAGTATATTTTGTATTTATCCTACTAAAACAGAAAAGTTTAGATTTTAAACAAAGGCTTGAATAACTCGCTTTTTAGTACGAAGACTGAATTTATGTAGTGATGAAAATTTTCAATCTCATCAAATGCAGTTAATTTTTTACATTAAATGAAATAAGCATAATTTTGGGGGAAAAAACAACTGCTTACTTGTTTTGAATAAGTGTGAAAAGTAAACTGTGGACCCATCCAAACACGACGTAAAGGTCCTAAATGTGTAGTTATTTCAACTTGACTATACCAGTAAGAAGCAACATCTTCAGCAGTCCATCCAGCAGGAGTGACGACATTATCATCTGTATCATCTTCATCATTATCATTCTTGTTCTTATTACTATCATTATTATTATCTTCGGTGTTTGTTTTTATTTCTAACAATCCAGATTTCATTTGACTGCTATTAGCTGGAGGTAAACTGGATTTCAAAGTTGATATAACTTTTTCGTAATTTGTAGATATGGGCGACATATTGTTATCAGATTCTAATGAAACTTCAGTCCGACCATCCACTATAATAATGTGATTTGAGAAAGAACAAACGTTTTGCAATGAAAATCCGGATAGTAAATACATATATATGTAAACAGATATATTCACCGACATAACAATTAACTAATGTATAATTTAACATAGGTTTAAATGGCAAAATATAGAAAAATTTTCCATTTGTAAATCAACTTCGATTTCATGTTTCTGGACTAAAAGAATAATCTATGAGGAATAAAAATGAACATTTGAAACATAATAACACCAAATACCTAATTATAAACCCAAGAGATTCAAGGATAATATCTCCTAAAATTCCTCTTATCAAACTACTGTAGCAAAGCATCCGATTTGAAAAAGTTAAAAATCTCTAAATTTACAACTGAGCATAACTTTAATTAACATAAAGAACTAAGTATGATTAAAGAAGTTCCAGAGAACAAGCTAAGCCATTAAATGATCATAAGTACAGTGGTTTTTATAAATATGAGGTAGTTTTAAGTTAAATAGGAAAACCGGTGAAATGTAAGCAAATAAGACCTACATAGAAATAATTACATAATGAAAAGGACCATATGTTACACTTTCAATATATAAAGTAATAATCCAATTTAAAATATAATTATTGAAATAAAATACATATAGACCTATTAAGTGATAGCTAAGAATAAGATGGCTGAAGAAAAATGATACGAATCTATGAAAGTAGATCTCCGCGCTGGTTGGTCGTCATTCATAAGCATGATCTTGAAGGAATTGATGCTTCCGAACCATATGTTACCGTTAAATATCACTTTTACTGAACCAATCAGTTCATCAAGGACTTTCAGAAAAACATATAATTAGGCTAGCTGGTAGTTAATTAAGTAGTAAGAAATATCATTTTATTATTCTATATCCAGTGATGACTTAGTTCTGAGGAACACGGTAAATTATTGAAATCGTCAAAGGTGAAGAATATGTAACAAACGTTAAACTAAGAAATATTGAACATTCTAAGGTTTGTTCTTATTTACGAACACGATCAAAACATATTCACATTGCCTAAAAAGTCATGTTTGGAAACTTATCTAATATTGTTGTTAGACAACTACTCAGTTCGTAAAGCACATATAAGATATATTTAAATTATGGATCATGCACTTCACACAGAGGTTAACAATATATAGTTTTTACAGTATATACAATCTAGAAATATTTAATAATCTACTAAATACTTTATACAAACGAGTGATAATTCAGTACACAAATAATTCACAGATCCAAGTAAGATACGATGCAGTAACCTGTTAACAGTAAGAATCATTTAATCTCAATAAACAGAAATATAGCATACTAAATTGGATAACATATTTAATATCAATTAATTTAATGAATAAATCTGCTTAAAATTTAGTATTACTCTTTAAATTAGAAGCATAGTCCGATTTAAGCCTATTTGTTTTACATCTTGCTTGAAGTGTAGACGAGGCTAAAATAAGTGGATGCTGTCTAGGAAATGGAGGTAGGTACACAGCATCTGTATGTAAATTCCATTCGCCAACAGATACACAATCTAAACGAATTGAACCATCCTACAAATGAGAGAAAAGTATTAGGACATAATAAATAAGAACATTATGCACAAAAATAAATTAAAAATTATTTGAAATGGATACTGTTTTACGTAAATTTTAAATGAGCACGGAAACAATATGAGTTTATTTCATCATGATGGAAGCCATAACACAAGTGGAATCTCAATCACAATAAACTGAGAATCAAATAAGGTCAGTATGTGCACTTCGATTAACGAGTTTTTTTTAACTAAAAACAAAAGATAATTATATTTCGATAATAGATTAAGTTTATTTGCTTGTAATCTTTACTAGTTCACAAACCAACTTCAGAATCGTAGATATTCGTGATATATTTGCAAAGGTCTCTTTTTGGGCCTATTATGAAAGAAAAATGTGTTTTCACTATGTATATGGCAACACGACACATTAGAAATAATCGAAGCCTGAAAATCGAAAAAAAAATCTCTAATGAGAATAAAACTAGTGGTATTTTCAAATTTAACTTGCTATATGACGTAGTCTGGAAACCCGAATCTTAGTTACCAAGACAAGATTTAAGCCCCTAAGTGCACGCATTATAAGTTCATTAAATTAGGAAGTCATGATTATATATGCATATAGTTAATGCCATTTTCGGCCGAAGATAAATATATGTACAAATATGTGTTTAATTTCAAACATTAAGGAAGTTTTATTACACAACGTTTACTATGTTACAACGAGCCTAATTGACTTAACAGTGAATCGTACTATCTATAATTTAGAAAAAAAATTAGGATTAGAAATACAATACAACGATCCCATGCGTGGTTATGAATTGGGATTAATGAAGTAAGTTAGCTCATCAAATGGAAATAGTTAAGAAAATGCTTGAACTTTTAATCCGATTACTGGAACAAAGATCCAAAAGAATCATTTATAGCATATCTGTTTTTAAGAATTCAGACACTGATTGAAATAATGTACTGACAGTGGAAGAACTACATAGCAACAAAGACATTTTTTAATGGACTTAGTCACTTGAAGAAATGGAGTAAATCAAGCTTCAACATATGATTTCTTTATCAAATTATTAACTTCAGTCATCAAATCTAACGTTTGTTCGCAAACAAATAAATATACCGAAACATATTTAAGAAGTGAATAATTAGTTCAGAGTGAATAATTTACATTGAAAATAAAATCAGACAGAGGAAAAAGACATTTCGATAAGAATTAACTAATATAAAATATCCTATTAAAAGTAGTAAATAAATAAGCTGTTACGTTACTCTATCAACTCCTAGTTACGATTATCATATTGCCTTAATTTCATGCTCATGTTATTCCTGATTGTTGTCAATGGCTCTCGTTATTAAATGTATGTGCATTCTACGTGCTCACTGGGCCGTTGGCGAACTTTTTCTGTTATTTTTTCTCTTTCAGATAACCTCATATATCTTCAGGTTAAACGCAAACCTACGAAAAGCTGAACGAAACAGTTAAATGAATAAATAAGATTTTTATACCTGATATAATTTCCCACCAACTGTAGCTGTATCATCTGCACTAACACATAAATCGTATTCTATTAAGCGAAGATCGGCTGTCAAAATAAATAATGCATCTACAGCACGAGACTTTCCGACTACAAAGAAAGAAAATTATTGGATACAGTGTGTTTATAAAGGAATAAATATATCTAGGAGAAAAAAAGCTCAATGAACTTGAGCTGATGAATCCTTAAATGATTTTAAGATTAATTTACATGTTTTTTGTATTGAAGAGATTTTTGACGAAATAACAGATTTATGATGATTTAATGGGGTTATATATGAAAGAGCCACAAAATAACAAGTTCGTGTAGTACATAACATAGGTGTTATGCTTACAGAAGAGGAACCTTTCGAAAACCAACTAAGAATGTGTAAAGGCTTCTATAAGGTAAAGCAAATAGTCAAGAAAGCAAGCGAATCTATCACAGTGAATATGGAGTACAGTTCACTGAAATCAAATAACAAAAAGAAAACATAACAAAACTTATTAAGATTGTCAGATAGATGTGGTAAGAAACAATTCTTTGGTGAATTACTTTGGATATTTATTTATAGGCTTATCAGTCGTAATCCTAAACATCAATAAGAAGATTCAAACAACCAATATAAGTGAATTGAAACTTCACCTCGCTGTTCAAACCAGTGGCTATCTGGACTCAGTAGCTAAGTTGATAATGAGATTAAATTTGAAACGAACGTCATTGGGCTCTAGTGCTGGATTGAACATCAATAGGATAAAACGCATATTCTATATTTTACGGCTAACCACTATCTATCTATGTTTATAATGCTTATGAATTAAGGTAATACCGATACAATCCACACAGAGTGAAGATATACCACTAAGAGACTGATTAATTGCAGTTCGAAATATCAATGGGAAAGCCCAAACAAACAAAAATATTTCTTAGGGGATCATCATATAGTCCTAAGTCAACTACATCCTTCATAGTTTGTCAATTACAAACAAAAATCTATTACTCGGCGTTGTAACTACGATTGGTGACCTAGTATTTTACTTATAAAGTGACATGGACTAAAAATATTATTAAAGGTACGTGTGATCAAACATCAAGCTTTCTAGTGTTTTACGTGACATATCGATCGTACAGGAATGGGACTGACTGATTTACTGATAACAGTGTACTCAAGACTACAAAAAGCACCAAAGCCAGATTTGTCTACCTTCTTAGTTCTCTAAATTACGCAATTAGTGTTCGACAAATACTTTCTTCATGCGACCTCAAATTATATATGCCTGTTTAAGTGTATGTGCTAAAGCGGATAAATCGGTGATACAGCAAGAAAGGTCACTCGAGACGCTTTGTAATGGAAACTTTCTGTCAGAGATGCAATTGCAAAGTATTAAATTGGATGAAGACACCAAAAACGTATGGCTTTAAAACTGTCAAGACAAACAGTTAAGTCCTTTTGATTTGCAAAAATCAATTGCTTTTAAGTTATATTCCAATTATCTACCTAGTGGTTTAACCACATGAGATACCAATATCCTTTTTACGATACTTATAACTATATTTTTGATTACTACAGAATAGCTATAATTTGATTAGGCTTTGTAGTCAATTGGGACAAAACCGTATAAAACCTTTACTATTTTACTTAGCTACTTACATACCTTTTCAGTAATAAAACTTGAAATCCTTCAAAGAATTGATAAGGACATGGGTTATCAATCGAGGTTGTGAATTTACTATTAATAAAACTAATTTAGTATTTCATCTAATTGTTTCCCTTTATGAATTTAAATAAAGCAAGAACAAATATTGGTGCAGTAATATTTGTTCATGCTTTATTTAATTTAGTATTTCCATAAATTTTAATTTGTTAGAAACATGTTTCATCCTTAAACATTAATCCCAACACTTGTACCACATAGACCTATTACGTATTTAAACACGACTCTGTGCCAATTTACACTATTTACAAACATTTAACAATAGTTTAGTATGTCTGAAGAAAATTAGAATTTAATATTCAACAAGCCATCTGAAAGGATATTGTAATAAAGATGTTTTACTTCTCTGTGAGTAAATAATAATTATGTCCTCCACACTGAATATCTCTGAGATAAATTTACTGAAGATCCAGCGAGAACTAATGATCTCTAGTTACTAATTTATTAATAAGACAGTAACTCAACTATAACATTGCATAAGGATAATGTAACGACATTGTAAACTGATATAAGCAACTAAAAACTGACCAAAGGTATCATACTCAAAAGGTTAAAGGTTTAATTTCTTATAACGCAATAGTCGTAGACTGTGGAGTAATGTCGAGTGAGGATAATATACGAAAGACTTGTGACAAAAAACCATAGCTTCATAATGTCAATAATTACGTAGTAGTGTTTAACTAGTTAGATTAACAGCCAGTAATCAATATTTTCTTTTTACAACCCTTGACTCCCTTTTTCCAGTACTTGGCAGCTTATTTACATACTATTTGTACATAGCATATTTTACTCATTACATCACTTATATTGTTCTAGGTACCACCGAATACATTTAACAAAACATGTGCTTTCATTTGGTAGGAAATTGAAAATATATACACACTAAAAAACACAATATAATGAAAATAACTAATTTACACAAAGAAATCCTATGAGTATGTTAAATTATAAAAGGTTCTTGTGACTTACCATACGGGTCACTACGATAGTCTGAAGATACATTATTTAGACGGAGTTGATTTGGAAGGAAACATACAGGAGGTCCAAAACGTGCAGCTCTAACACTATTACTTGTTGGACTAGATATATCTTGACTCAAATTTTGAAGTGATTGCCCACTTCTGTGACGCCGAGTATGCTTGCGTGAATGAAAAGAAGAACGAGATGCTGTACTAACTGGCAATTGTGTATATGTGCAAACTTCAGGGCAGTGAACATGATTAGGATCAGAATAGCATGATTTAACAGATGATAAGTGACGATTAACTATTACCGCATTTATATTTTTCATAGGTGTTACAGCTTCAAAAGCACTACTGGCGGCGCCTCGAGCAATAGATGTCACACTGCTACCACTAGATGGTTTCAATCTTGCTTCAGCTTTAACTCGACAAGGTTCTGGATAGGGAGGCAACCGAGAATTAGTAGTGTTATACAACGCGTTCGGTGGACAAGCACATAATCCTTCACTATTTAGAAACAACATAGTAGGCTGTTCAGAAACATGAAGATGACTACTGGATGATTCTGAAGAAAATGGATTTGAACGCGTGAAAAATTGTGATGCATCAGACAATGCTGAGTCACCATCGAGAATCGAAGAAGAATTTGAACTCCCCTCATCTAAACAAGGAAAAAGTTTAAATTTGGGTACATTTAAGAGATACATGGTATGGAGAATAGTTTTAGATAGAGGTAATCACTGGTAATCCATAAAATATAGTCTAGAACAAATGACATTAGACAAAATGCATCTACTATCATTTCAGTAGAGGAGAAAATATATTTTTCCAATACCGCAGAATAGTATCAAGTAAAATGTAAGGAGGAATTGGTATGTTATATATATATATATATATATATATATATATATATATATATATATATATATATATATATATATATATATATATATATATATATATATATAATGTCAATCTTTTGAAAACACAAAAGCACTAGATACAAAAGTTTCAATGGAAAAGAATAAATTAATTATGACCCTTAACCCACCTGCATCAACGAAAAAATACAAACTGTGATAGAGCTTAATATACTTATTTACGGAGTAACGTCATAAACTTATTACTAACAACAGCTTTAGAAATCATATGATTCGACATAAAAAATAACCCTCCCTTTTGAATCCGCATAAAACTTACATACAGTATATCATAGATATAACTTTGAAACAGATAAGTCTGCATTACTCTCGTATTCCATATATAATAACGGTTAAGGTTCATTGATTTTACTTGTAGCTACCCGTTGAAAAAACACAACCTAGTAAATTAGGTAATTTTGTTGTAAGCAGCCGACGAGAAACCACAAAATATAATGAATTCATATCATTCTGCATCAATATTTGTTTTGGCTTTATTTAAATTCATAAAGGGAACTAATTGAATGAAATTAGGTGATGATTGTGAAAGAAGTTAACTGAATGAAATGCTAAATCATATCTTATAATTTATTGAAAACGTGAACCTATCCAAGTTAGACTATCATCAAAAACTTGGAAACATTCGGAAGCCTTTTCGTTCTAGTATAGGACTCCTCAGAAGTGTGCATCCACGACCCGGCACATGGAAATCGAGCTGAGGAGCTTCAGTCTCGCACGCGAACACTCTACCTCTGAACCACTGAGCCGGTATCCAACATTGTTAATGTCTTATTTCAATCAATCTGCTACATGTCACGACCATCTTCCACTGTCTTCAGTGGGCAACTGCCTCACATTCAACGCAGTTTAGCTCCATCAGTTATGGCTTCTCGAGTTCGCGCGCGAAACCAGAGGTCTTGGGATCGACTCACTCGTGCGAAGTCTTAGATCCCCACTGCTGAAAAGTCTCACAGTTAAACGAAACGGCTATCCAGTGCTTCAAGGTTTTTGATGGTGGTCTTACATCGGTTCATGAATTCAATCAAATTCATATATCTCCACAAACCTATACTGTCGTATTTTATGATTGTACACTAAGTTATTTGTATCAAATGAAAACAGATGGTCCAATGAAATCACTTTTCAATCACACTTTTAGTTCTGTAGTTATAAAACATCATGCATATAGGACCATTTGAACACATGAAAATATGATACGGGATATACTCTTTAAATGGCTATGATATTCTGTATAAAGCAATGTGTGTTAAGTTGCCTTAGAAATTATTAAGGCACTAGACGTAAGTGTCACTGACTAACTGATCAGTCCCGGATACATTTCTTTGTAAATGATATGCTTTATAAACTTTTTTATTTTCATGTGTATCCTCATTTCTAATCACATAAACAACTGACCCTGATATGATAGGGAAAATTAATATTGATTGGAGTACGACTGATATACACAACTGACTTTATCTAGTTTCCTATGTCATTTAGCCATAATTTAAGAGTCAATTTACATAACTTAGCAAGATAGTTACATCTATTGGCAATAACAGTTCAATCTTACGATACAATAAATTGTGCTTAAAAATTTAGTTACCGATTAATTAGTGTCCAGTGCTACTTTGACTATTGGTGTAAATAAAACGTACAAAGGTTGTTGTATTCATATTTGCTTTTGATTTATTTTTGGTGTAGAACAAATTCTCACTTATCGTCATTACGTTGTGTGATTTAGTTTCATATGGCAAGTACCAACTTTCCGCGGATATATCAGACCTCTATCTTAAAGACTGATACGTTGAATCTATGTCAACACATATACTGATAGCACATTGAATTGAAAGACAGAATTCTAGGAATTAACCCTAATCCACAAACTGAATTTTTATCAAATAGAAGTTCTGTCCTTTGGTTGTCAACAAACCTTTACGGATGTGTATGCAAATGTTTAACGTGTACTTATTCCAAAGTAATGTAGTGTTCAACTCAACTTTGTTCGGTCACTTATTGTTTCGATTTGCATGATATAAGATGAAGCGATTATACTGATTTATGAACAATAGTAAATCTAAAAGTTTAGAAATCCTACTGCTAATTTCAAGATTTTTCTGCATAATACAATAATGATTCACCTTTCGAGTTCTTAGAATTATTTCGTGGTGGCAGATCGATCTGATAGATATCTGTTCGTGACGTTGTGAAGGTAGTCATTATTCTGGAAAACAGATAAGGGGTAGTTTATTGCACTTTCCCATAAGCTGCAATTGATATGTCAAGTTACAAATCTCTTAAATTGTGCTTGTACATAACTGCTCTTTTATGGTGTCATGCTGTTACTGTTGTTATGAAGTGAAGGATTCAAAAAGCTTTAGCTCTTTTATTTATATTTTTCTTGTTGACAGAAACAACAGAAAACTAGATTCGTAGTTAATGTGGACGCTGTTGATAAACTAATTACTCGCTACACCATGTACCTAAAATCGTCGGTTTGATTATTGGAAAAATTGTAGATTTTCGTTTGTACAAAAATACCTCTAGCAATTAACATAGAATTGGCTATTGTCTATGTGACAACTGAAGTGGATACATATCAACTTGGTATGAATTTACTAGCTTTAACTAAATTTTAATACTGTGTATGTTCTGGAAGTAACTTATCACTGCTAAACAGATGAAATAGTGACTTTGATATGTTTTAATCCCATTGAATAAAAAAGAACCACACCACTGAAGAATATCACTATTTCGATATCGTAAGCAACTTTACCCGTAGCTCTTCTAGAGCTACTGCCGGTCCCAAGCCCAGATAAAGGAAGAGGGTTGAACATGGGGTCAGCAACCCCATCTTGTACAAAACAACCTTGCTAAATAACGCTAATCAGAATAAACAAATTAAACCATTTAAACTCTGCCCTCCGAGTTGAAGGAAGAATTATGACGCCTCATGATTAAAGCTGAGATTCTTCAGAAGTCAAGAGGCCGATGCTCCTTCTAAAAACTAAGATTTCCCAGGATATAGTTCGATGGGGAATGCTGGTGAGCGGCCTATGCTTCTCCATGAGAGGTAACAGGAGTAAGTAAGTAAGTAATATCGTGTGGATACACGTTTTTGGTCATTTTTAAAAAGATGTTGAAGAAGTAATAGAGTGATTGCAGGATTTAGTTTTAGAAACTATTTTTCTGTACACTTCACTAAATAACTTTTATGCTGGCTTCCCCAAGAATTATAAAGCTGATCATAGGGAGAAATCTAACAACACCAACAAAAGATTCTACTGTTGAGATATTCAGGCCGTGAATGATCCCTTGTAAAACTGGATTAAAAATACTGATCTGTCACTGAATAGTAATTAGTAGTAAAAGGTTCCAGAGCTGACAGAATTCAATCAATCACATTTGTAACGTTATCCAATTAGGCTCAATGATTTGTTGATCTTAATTATCCGTAAAATATTAGACAATTCATTCATTAACAGGACTGTATAGTTTACCGAACTCTGAATAACAAAGATAAAAGATAAGTAAATAATTCCAAATATCAATTCCAAAAATACTAATTATCTCAAGATTTCAATAAAGTATTTGAACGATTTTAAAACCATACGGTTAGCTATTTAAATATGAATAACTTCTTTTTTCAACGTGATTTTATCCATCTTAAGAGCAACTATACAAATAAATAAATTATAAAGCAAAAAATTGAAAAGCTGCCTATGTAAGGAAATATGACGTTAAATTTAACAAATTAATTAGGCTTAAGGCATCATATACTCAACCTCATAAGAAATGGAGGTTAGATCAATATACTGGTGAGGTGTGAAATTTCTCATAAAATCATCCATAGAAAAATGCAATGGAAGGTTGTTTATAAAAAAATGGTCACATATAACTTACTAATACAACAGTCAGGGGTTTCCTTGAGAGGAGTCATGAAAGCTGTGAATCCTAGATGAGGGCATTGAGGTGCAAAACCTGCAATTGGTGCAGTTTGACAAAAATTCGAAGTTGCTCTAGATACACCAGGTGCGAAACCAGACGACTGACTATGTATAGTATAAGGATGTTTCACAGAACTAGACTGGGGAATGTGGCACGGCATATTGATAGAATTGCTAGAGGAGTTACCGCTAAATCCAGTTGACTCAGTTGCACTTCTCTCAGGTTGTGGTCTGGTTAGATGATACTCTTCTAAACCAGATGATCTATGATATCTCGAAGTACGATTCACAACGTGAGGTCGAGTGTGTGTACGAACAGTGATCGGACCTCCATAAGCAGTAACAGGGAAAACATGTGTAGTCCCATGATTGCTGCTCACAGCTACCCACCGAGAATCATGAGAGAAAGTAGCATCCACAATCTAAATATGTAGGAATCAAATGAAATAATAAATTTATTGAATAAATGTATTACTCTGAATTTTTTTCTACGCAACATAAATGCTAGTAGTGCTAGTGCAAAAAAGTATGCATATTACAATATTTCTATGATAGAAGATGAATTCTTATATCTAACAGACACACAATAGAAAACAAAAGACACGCACGCATTAGACAAGAATATTTAAGAGGTACTTTAGCTAAGTGTAAAAATATCAAATTGGAAATACTTTGTGTATGATATATTTTCTCACTTAATAAACTCCCCCATACGAACAACTTAAAATGTGAAATAAATTGTTACGACATTGCATCCGAACCATTAGGAATAACCCTAACTATGTAGTGCGTCAATGGCCCATTAACTCCAACGATTTCCAGAAAAGACCACTAAACAAAATACAGTATTATGAACGAATGCTACCAGAGTCCAGTTACATGGTAAGTGATGTCATTTAATTAGAAAATAAGAGGTATTTTTCAAATTATTAGATCATGATCAACGCAGAGCCTAGCATGAGTATGCTTTAGTATAGCTGTTATACTACATGAGCAAAAAGAGATGAAATAAACATAATGACTAAAAAAGAATTCAGAAAAGCTGTAGTAGCACTGCTAGTAGGAAGGATCAAATATTGAGAAAATGATCGGAGAAGGGATAAAAAGGTATGTCTGAAGAAATACTGAAACTGAATGTGAAATATTAGCACGTATCGTTTACTTGTCTATATTTGAAAGTTTCCATTCAACAGAAGATTTAACAATGAATGGAATTGTGATGAAGATTCTAACAGCTTAAGTAGTTAAAACACATTTAGATGAATTGTGCTACATACATATATTTACACACTAATAAAAGGTTAAACACCAAAATGAGAAACTGTAAATAAAAATGAGATTTAAGGAATCAAAATAATTTGATGAATAAAATCTTAAAAAATAAGTATCTATGACATTTGATTTTTAAAAAAAACAAGCGTGTTTACACTTGTACCAAGATCATTTACATATATCGGTCTTGCTCAACAAACGAACAATAAAATATTGGTCATAATACACTCTAAAAATAGGTTTTGCACTTTTGTAGTTAATGACAATCAATTTTACCTAACATGAATTCTTATTATCGATTTGTTTCTAAAAGTTGTCCAAAAGAGTATAGTTTTGCCAATTACTTTCCTTTTAAACTTAACTTGATGCTAACAGTCGCTACAATGAGATAAAATTTTAAATATTCTATCTGCAACTAAACATTTTTAATGGATGTTTATAATAATGTGACGATTACTTAGACGATCTGAAGTACTTGGAATTTATTACGTTATTGTCGAACTACATTTACGCTGGATTGAAAAATTATATACACTTTCTAAGCTGAAAGTTTAGCTTATAAAAATGAAGTTAATTACTATGATGCCTATTTATTACTTCTTAAAATTGGAAATTAAGAAATTACAACACGACAATCGTTAGTGTTAGACTTTTAGCTACACGTATTGGGTGAAGAATAGTTCAAAATTACGTAGGTTAGAACCAATAAAAACATCAAAACATAGAGTTCAAAAGAAACTAACAGAATTGTTCGGATTTAAATTATATATTGTGATACTCTTCACAAAATGGTATTTGTAACTTGCCAAATGTACTTGAGAACCAAATTACCCGTTGCAATCGAGGACATTAGCATAATAATTTAAACTTCACGTACAAACAGACCAAAAAATACAATAAACAAATTGCTCACTGGTGCAGAACACCTAGATTACAAGAACTAGAAGATACAGAATTTAGGACTAGGAGTTTTCCACTGATGGACTGATAACATACGTGTATTTCATACGGCTAAAATGTGATACACCCTCTAAAAATAAGTATGGCTAAGCTAAACCATAATCAACGTAGAAACGACGTGAAAGAATAAATAAATTCACGATAAAAGCACTCCTCTAAAATGCTAACAATTCTTTTTCCCATTCGGAGAAGGATCAAATGCCTGATTGGTCGTGTGTATAAAACAGATAACTGATCACAGTTTCTAGGATCATGTTTTTGGTAGAGATTCGTTCGCTGAACTGGATGGTTTGGTTGTGGAACTTTCATTGTTCCTCTGAACAACATCATCAGCACAAACTTCGGGTATATGTGAAATATCTGAATTTCTCCACATATGACTCTCAGCTTTTCCTATCGACTTCGATGTTGATTATTTATTGTTGACATTTAATAGTACTCTGCTTGTAAAATGCAATGTATATAAACTGCCGAAATACCATTAAATTTACTTCCATCGTACAGCTGTTGAAACTAGCTGTCCTAATGAAACAGTATCAACAAACATAATTTATGCTACAAGAGAAATAAAAAACAAATCCACTAAACTGATCGGTTTCACCGAAATTTCTGTAAAGGTAATAAAAAGCGAATTAAATAGAATTTTCAACCATGCAAACTGATCGTAATATGTAGCTGTTATGCTTAAAATCGTATCGATCATACCTTAGGTTCTCTTCCCTCTCTATATTGTTATACACATACATCATTCAGAATTTAAAAAGCGAACTAAATTACATGTTGACGTTTATACCAATGCTTTTACAAAATAACTTTACCGCTTAAAATTAAGTACAAGCAGGCTGATAACACTCAATGAACTTATAAAAATCCTTTTTTATAAAAATCACATAAATCAGTTTAGTTATGTAATGTAGATACTCTTTGCTGACAGGTATTGAATAGTACAAAACATCTATTATTTCTGATTATCCCTTCCAACAAAGTGATTTTGAATCATACAGTCTACTAACTAATACTATGTACCTTGATTGACTGAATTCGATCAATCAGGTCTAAGGACTGAACAACATGACACTGGTGACTGCAAAGTTACCAATTAGTGCGAATGTTTGAAATAATGGAGTTTTTTGGGTCACTATAATCCTGTAATTGCATCACTGAATCATTCACATTGTGACACAGACTGCAAAATCAATTTCATGTAAATTGTGATCACTGTTATAAGATTCGTCCACAATTGGGTAGCATCATTGTTTTCAATATATGATTTCTAGCAGCAGATTAGTGAACTTTAATCACTCAACTTTTACCTATTTGGTTACAAGTTCGAACCTTGTCCCGTCTTCATTGATTTAACGTGATCAGGTAGTACCATCTACTCTTACACAATGAATAATATTAGGATTTGAATATAAAAACCTTAATAATGTATTTATTTTCAGAAGGGGTTTGTGGAGATTTTAGAAATTTTCACAGATTTAAATCATGAGTCAGTTGAAGCTAGACCACCATTGTCAACCTGGAAGCACTGGACGGCCGTTTCGTCCTAGTATGGGACTCCTCAGCAGTGCGCATCCACGATCCCGCACCACGCGGGGCTCGAACCCAGGACCTACTGGCTTCGCGCGCGAGCACTTAACCATTAGACCTGGGTTCGAGCCCCGCGTGGTGCGGGATCGTGGATGTGCACTAATGAGGAGTCCCATACTAGAACGAAACGGCCGTCCAGTACTTCCAGGTTTTCAATGGTGGTCTACCTTCAACTAACTCATGATTTAAATCTGTGAAAATGTATTTATTTAATAAATTCACTCCTATTACGCAACAGTCACAAACAGTAAGTAAGCTTGTATACAGTCATATAGTTATACTATTTCATACAAAGACGTGATTAAAGTTGCAGATTATTTGACCGCTTATTTAACCAGCTAGGCTATACACAATCAAAAATAATGAGACAACTGATGTTGTAAACACTAATTCATAGTGGTGAGAACTGAACCGATTAAAACACATAAGACAGTAAACAACAAAGAAAAGTCGTACGAACACACAATATTTGAATACACCTATTAGGTCATAAAATAAATAATTCAGTGGTGAAGTGCTCTAACATAGTAACATACAACGCTAACACAATCTTACATAAGTAAACAGATTTTGTTCACAAAAACACTAAGCCAGATAGCCAGGCCCTAATTTTATGAGTGTATGGAAGACCTAAGAAACCTATATATTTTCTGATTGTTTACTTATCAAATGTTCAATTATGTTTACTTTTCTACTTAATATTTGGCGTTTAAGCATATTATTTTATTAAGGAAAAGCACATTTTGATGGAGATTTGTCTTATCTTGTGATCTATATTCACTCAATGACTTATATGGTCAGTTAGTTATTATTCGAATATTGTGTTGATGATAAGAAATACAGAATCAAACGCCATATTTTCCGATTTCCCTAGATGATAAGAATAAAGAATATAGTTGGTTCATCCCGTTGTAGCGGACGCTACTAACAATATTGCTTGTAGTTAGTATATAGCGGGACGTAGCCTCAAGTCATCACAGTCGTCAGACGGAATGGAGAGTTTCAGTATATCGAAAGCACGGCTTTGGCAGAGCACTTGATGACCAAACAAGAAGACAGTTTGGATCGCAGAACACACCACGAGATGCAAATGGATGTTCGAAAGCTATGTATATGTATTACGCAAATGCTTTGTAAACAAGAGTTTTACCTATTGTCTTGATGTACATTTGGTGTAGCTGCCAGGATGTAAAACAAGAATGTATATGTGTATGAAAAACAATTAATTTGCATCTCGCGGCATAGTCTGCAATCCAAACTGTCTTCTTGTTTGGTCATCAAGTGCTCTGCCAAAGCCGTGCTTTCGATGTACTGAAACTTTTCACTCCGTTTGATGAGCGACGACTTCAAGACCACATACCGCTATATACTATCTACAAGCAATCTCGTGAGTAGTGTCCACTACACCAACACTTACTGAATCATGTGAACAGATAATTATGAATGAGGTAGACAACAGGTTCGAATAAACAAGGATTGAGAAACAAAATTGAAATAAAAAAAGTTTTCCAATGGCAAATTGCATGTGACAACTTATTAGAAATATACTTATGTTGTAACAATGACACGTGAATACAGTGTGTTTTTGTGACCAAATACAACAGACGTAAAATAAACAGAATATCGTGATATACAGTAACAAATCATACTTATTAAGAATGATAGCATCACAATAATAATAACTGACAGTAATAATGATAATAATTAGTATTATTATTATCATCGTGATTTAGACATAAACATGTAAACAAATTCTACTGCCTTTTTTGACGAAACCTATTCAATACCATATCGATTTTAATGGTATATTGAACATTAAATTGTAAATTTACTGGCCTTTTTTAGTAAATTCCATGAAAATTGTAGGAACGATTGTGATCATATTTATTAAAAATAGTAACTCTAGATGTTGTGACTTTAAGCCCAGCTAATCATCACATGATTTATTCGCCAATCGAAATACAACTTATTCAATCTTAGTACTGTGCCAAGCCAATGACGTTCGATAGGTATGAGCAGCCTAGCGTCCTTATTGGTCCTTTTCCTCCTAGACCTCACAGTTCAGTCCAAAACACCAATACCAGTTTCCACTATGAGAATCGTTTATTTCAAACATACTTGGTTTATATACCAACCAAACAGACCATATCACACCATAAAATAGGAAATAACATTTATACAAGATCAAGCCAAAAAGTGGCTGTGAACGTGGGAGACTGTAATCAATAAATTGAACATAACTTAAGAACGGTAAATTGTACAATCTATAGGTCAAAATGAAGTTTATAATAAGATTAATATAGATATACATAATCTAGTTACTGAATAGTCATACAATAAGAATATATTTAAAATATTAGTCCATTAATAGGCCTCGGAAGTTACCTATAATTTAATCTTCACTAAGACATAACACTAGAATAGTACAGAGAAAAATAAACACTTCATTATGGTGAAAGCAGACTATACAGTAGTTTCGAAAAACAAACTTATCTGCAGTATGAAAATGAATAAAATACGTTTACAACTCTTAAGATCAGTTAACCAGAATTGATAAATTTACTACACACCAATACTGATGGATACATACGCACTAGATAGTCGTATTTATCCTTTCTTATATGCAAGAAAACAGCTTACTTAAATCATTATTTATCCATCAAATATTAACGTACAGTTAGAAAAAATAAAATAAAATAATGGAGAACATTTCCGGCTCAGATGAATGGTTTAAGTAATGTAGAGTTATCCGAGTAAGACAAACAAATTGAGGAGCTTTCACTATTGTCTTGGATAACGACAACGAATAGAAATAGGGGTTAATAGTATTTCTTGCTTTGAAGTGAGTACAAAAATTTTTAAAATTTCACTGAAATCATGAACCGATCTAAGTTAGACAATGTTAGAGAACGTTTTCGAAATATATCATTCAGCCAATTAAATCCTACCTTGAAATGATATCCATTTCGGACTTCATTAGTACTGATTTTTTACTTATCAGCTTACATGCAAAAAATGTTTCGCCTAAATTACGCCCAAACTATTTGACGACCTGCTGTTTCCCCAAAACTAACTACTTGTGGTTACATTATTTTATATGTAAAAATTAGAAAACTGAAGCCAATTTTCTAAAAATCTTCGATCTTGGATCGCTTGAATCGAGTATAAGTTTGAGGTCACTCAATTGTGAGTGGGACAAAACCTAAGCTTGTCTTTAAATAAATTTAAAGAAACACCAAAAGCGAGTGTGTACTATGACTTCGTGATTCGTATTTCAAAATGTTGTGTGAACCAATAGAGTTGGTTTCTGAAATAATTTTATCAGCAAAATAAGGAGGGTGTAGTTTATACTCGATGTTTAGGATATCCTAAAAACTCACACCGTGATATAAATTAACAAGGATATAATAACAATGGAAACAAATTACCTCACATGGTAAATTACCACGTTCCAAAATGTATAAGTGATGTACAGCAGTTTGACGCTGGTCAAACGGATGATTAGCAATACGAAATAAATTGAATGAGTGACCCCGCTTACACGCAGTGAACAACAGACTTCCAGATGGATCAAACTTTAAGAAAGCAACACCAGCCCAACGATGAGCCTGAAATGAAAAGTAGTTCGGGACAAAAAGTGTTTTAGAAATTAGTGAAGAAAAAGAACATTTACATTGAGCGACCACTGAGTAATAACAAACGTTAAATAAGTGTAGTTTATTTTTTATTTAACACATAGATTTTGGTACAAGGAGGCATCAAATACATATGCGCCACACAAATCTCATTCGATATGTGTGAGGGCTGTGATACTGCCCGGGTGCCCAAACCGAACCATATGGTTTTCTTAGGGGGCCACACCCCGAGCCTTCGACCTGAAGGTCTGATCCACAAGACAGTGGAGCATCGTAAGCAGATGCAGTTCCATGGAAGCCGGTGACCAACAATTGGTTCATACGCCATTTTTTCCTTCAGGATACTGGAGCCCATGTGCACCATTGATCTGGAATCCGGTTAAAGCGCCGGACATTCGCTTTTCGTCCTCTCATTTTCGTAAACAACACCCGTAGTGAGAGAAGGCAGTGAGTAGGACTTTCCTGGCAGAGGCTATATACGCGTGGCCATGTGAGAGCGTTTCGAGAGGGAGAGCGAACTCTTCTCACTCTCGGCCGTACCAGGGCATTTGGGGGCTATTGCTGATTTAACTCTATCAGGGAGGTTCTAATCCTATTGGGAGAATCAATGCACTCAAGAATACAAGTGGTTGGGGGCTTATAACAAGAAAGTTTGTGTCACTGAAACGAAACTAAATTTTCAAAATCTTCAGAAATGTGCAACTACATTTGCTAAAAATAGCAATAAGGTTTTTAAAAAATATCAGCAACTGGCGAAATCCGTGTCGGTGAAAATTTGTGTAGTGTCAAAACATTTAACAATGAAATAAAGTAACAGCTTCCTCATATGAAAATCCACTAATCTAAATCATTATCCTGGTACAGATTCGTGCACTTGGCTTCAAACTACATTTGTATAGTCTGGCAGATAGTAATATTATTCAGCTCTACAAACCAAAGTGAAGCGGGGCACGAATTTGCAGTCTTAACAACTGAAAAAGAAGTCTTAACAATTTGACTATTATAGCACAATGCTTCGAAACTACGAAACACATATGTCTGTCTGTGCAAGTTAAATGATATTTTGGCCCCCGAATGCTCTGGTACGCTCAAGAGTGGGGGGAGGCAGCTGTCCCTCTCAAAATGCTCTCACATGGTCACGCGTAAACAGTCACTGACAGGTAAGTCCTACTCACTACATTCTCGTGGCACTACTGTTGTTTACGAAATTGAGAGGACGAAAAGCGAATGTCCGGCGCATTAACCGGGTTGGTGGATATGGAGGATCCAGGATAAATCCTGAAGTTCTAGTGAGAAGTAGTGACCAGTGGAGTTCAACCAGGTCTGTTGTGAGATATCAACTCACTGAAAACAATGGTGAACGTGTCGCTCAATTTCGTGGATTAGTTGAAGTTAGACATTAACACCGTTGGATGCCGGCTCAGTGGTCTAGTGGTTAAGTGCTCGCGCGCGAAACCAGTAGGTCCTGGGTTCGAATCTCACAGGGGGTGAGGTCATGGATTTGCACTGCTGAGGAGTCCCACGACAGGACGAAACTGCCGTACAGTGCTTCCATGTTCTCCATGGTGGTCTAGCTTCAACTGACTGATGATCTTAACCATTGAAAATAAATAATCGTCTAGTAAAGCTGCCAATGTCATACTAGCACGTAGACCGATTAATAATCCCTAAGATTTTGTATTTTATCAACCATCCGCTTTTATTTGGTGAACAGGTATGCGAATAAATAAGCATGTCGACAAAGTTCTATTATCTCACCCCAATGAAACTAGGAGTGAAATCATCCTGATAAAATAATTACTTTTACCTTGGAAAGTGCATAAGCAAGATTGTGGAATTTAAGATCCGACCCATTATAAAAATCCCCAGTGAACAAAACATATAGTACTGAATAAAGAAGTTATTATTTTTAATAATATTAAAAACAGAAGATGAATTCTTAAAGAGGCTGGTCACAGGAGAATTCAGTCCCAAACCTATTGCTATGTTCGTGGTATTATGATATCAATTTGGACAGGCGAACGGGATAAAAACCAGGGACCTAATGACAGGACGGAGCTAAGCTATTTCTCTGCGCTCCAGCCCCACTAACTAGAGGAAGAAAACCAGATTAAGCCGGAGAAATATATAATTCCACACGCAGACCGGTAGAACGAATGACAAGCACATAGCTCATGACTAATTTATACAATACAAAAATGTCCTTGAACACTGTCATAAAATAGAGTACTGAAAGAGGTAAGGAACTAATGATGCCAAGGTCCTTCCAGACAGGAAACACAAGCTGAGGGTAATAATGGGCGCTTTTTGAGTGAAACATATTAGTCCAAAAGTAAGCCAATAACATCATATCTATAGTCTTAGACTTACTTCAGGAATGAACGCACTGCAAAAAATTCTGGGAATTACGTGAAAGAATACTTAAAACATATATCCTAAAGAATACAATAACCTACAATCAAAAACGCGAGATTTACTTGATAAACGTCTAATGAGAAATAATAAACAATGATTGGGCCGTTATTTATATAGAATTATAAGCCCAGAATATGAAATGTTTCAGCACTGCCAAAGTTTTGTGATATTAGGCTGAACAAATTTCAGAATCTTGGAACAGTTGCCACAGTAACGAACATAAATACGATAAGATCATATACCTTAAACATACTTTATGAAGATCATTTTCATGATTAAAACGACCAGCAGTGAATGTTCATTTTGTTCAATAACTAAAACTAATATGTTAATTCCATGGAATTTTATTTTCTGTAAAACTACTTTGAACCTGAATATGTTGCCATCCTACTAAAATCATCTTCCAAGTAATCGATTCGTGTACTTGGATTTGAGTCACGTTTTTTGCGTAAAAGCTAGTAATACTGTAGTGAACGAACACTCAGGTGGGGAAGACCAATTTATTGCTTAATGCAAAACTACAGAGTGATTCAGTAAAATGTGAAAATCACACATCAAATACATCATTTGCACATCACCTTTGAATTGTCTTTGACGAGCTTCATTGTTCCTATATTCTCGTTGTTATATTGATTGCTTCCACACTTCTTTTCATCTCAACCTTCTTAACTTCCTGCTAGCAGCCATTCCAATTCTGACTGGTGATACACACTATTTATATCTACAAACATATATAGCGCACACCACAATACTACCTAGTCGTGTAAACCAAAGAAGGTGAAGCGGGATTCGAACCTGTGACTAGTTAAAAGTGAAATGATACAATCAGCAATCCATTGTTCCGTTTCTACTATTAACTAGAGGTGTAAATGAATGACGATCATAGTGTTGGTGTTTTTATTATGGATTTTTTTAAATATCAATAGTGTTATTTTCAAGAAATAGCCGCACGTAAACCGAATTCTTCATAAGTATTGGATTTAAATGATGAAATCACGGCAAATAAATTTCGGGTAGTATAAATGAAAAAATAGGTCGTGACCCCTGAATCTATTTATGTGTCACTGAAAGGAGTTAGTGTGACTTTCAATCAAAATATTAGGTTCTGTGAAAGATATATGGCTTGATGATGAATACAAATATAAGGAATGTGTAATAACGGCATTGTTGCAACTAGGAAGTTCACATATTAATTAAGCTTCCAGTTCCTCAGTAATAATATTATCTTAATCTAGAAAAACACTTCTGTGACCCGTTGCCAAATAGTGGTCTAGTAGATGATTATACCAATTTCTATTGATAGAAATTATCAGGCAGTTGCAATTATGGATAAAAAACGACTTTTAGTTTACATGTATAATAATTATTGATAAAATATTCAACCACTATATCACCTAAACAAGCTTCTTGTTTTGATTCTCATAGGGGTAATTTTATAACCAGGAATCTTCATACTAATATTTTTGATATAAACTGGTGAAATGAAGTTATATAATCAATTGAGACGTGTATAAATATGTTTACAAAAATACCTACCATGAAATGAGCAACAATGGCTCCCGACCCACCAAATTCATGAACATTCAAGTATTTCACTCCTGACATTTTAATACTTGTGTGTTGATTATTTGGAGAGCATGATTGAGCTCTTTGATTAGTACTATTATATTGATTTGTTGAGTTAGAGAGATTTGAACCAGCAGAACATAAACGAACTGATGCCGTAGCATCTTCAAGTTTTCGCAAAGTTGCATGTTCACAATGTAATGTATGCAAATCAATTATTGTTACGTAACCGGGTGATATGGATGAGTTATTCACCTCTGAAGTAATTAGACTAGATCCATGTTGTGGAAACGAACCTGATAAAGTTGTTTGTGGGACTTGATGTTGAGAATCAAGATGATTATTTCGCAAATTTGGTGGATTCGGACCCAATGAACTAGAAACGACTGAAGTAGCCAGAGCCGAAATCCCTTCCCAAAGACGCTATAAGAATGTGTAAGGTATAATACACACTCAAAAGTTAAGCAATGTTGAAATAAAAACAAATAAGAAAAACGCGAAACAGTCGCTATCATACAATTTTCACACGGACCGATTACGACACAACCCTATACATCTAAAGGAATCTACTACAGTTTGAGCAATCACAATGTTAGAACTAGTCAGAGTTACCTATTACTTCTGGTCACTATATAAAACTGGCAACAGCTGAACCTAATATATTACAAGAAACATAAGAACAATAATATAAAGCTTGAGAATAATACTAATTACATGTGAAACTACTATAATACCAACAACTTTAATCGTAAAACACTCATTATAATCGGCTGGTATTTTAAAAGAACGTTATTAGCTTTATCACACTATACCTAATTGCGCCTCAATAAGTTGATTGGCTCGTATTATTTTGTGTCATATCCAACTCAACAATAAGTTTGACATCAAATAAATGCGTTCTTTACTTTTGTAATTTTTAGAGTGCAATTGAGAACTTATTAAAAAATAAATTGATACACTTATTTGTGAAAGAATTGAAATGAATTTATCACAATAGAACAAATTCATCGATAAAACTATATGTGATATCAACAAGCAGGATAAATTACTTTGTTTTTTTTTAATATCTAACAAACACAAACGATTAATCTTATTTTAACACAAAAAGTATTTGATAAGATGTTTACATAGTTTGTTTATTTGATGCAATTACTGTCTAAAACAATAATAAATTTTTTTGTAATTCCTATCATCTAGTATTTGTGATGTATGTTGAGTGTGTACGGTGTCTAACTGACAATAAGACATTCTTTACGTACAAAATTTCATCGATTACCAAAACATTAAACATAAGAAGAAAATTAATATTCCTTAACTGATAATCATAACAAAATACATAAACCTGAGAGAATAAACCTTACAATAATTCAGCGGTCATCTAAATAGTTTCAAGTGGGATAAAATGAACATCCAATAAGATTTAATTTTCATGTACTACCCAGCACTGTTGATAACAAAATTGTGATATTTGCATAAAGAACTTCGTTCAGTCATCATGTGATTTGAAAGGGGGATAACACAAGTTAAATAGATAAAGTAATTAGCAGTATATAACAGTACTTCTAAACTGCTCATATTTTGTTTTCACATCGTCTACTGATTACAAAGTACGGGTCTATGTACTTGACTTTCAGTCACGTTACCATAGATAAAATTGAAAACAATGTGTTTGCATTTTAGATCATTTTTTCATCTGTTTAGCCAATAGTGTGATAGGAAATAACATATTAAAATGGAAACAAAGTCGGAACGTTGCAGAGACATTTTTAGCTCAGCCTTCCCGCTTAACAGTTTTATTTCAGTAGCAGTTTTGATGAGTCACCCAGATATCTTGGGTATATGAATTTATTATTTTAAACAACAATCACAGAGTTAGAAATAGTTTTTTTCTTCACATGCAAAAAGTACGTTAGTATTATAGTGCTACGGCATTTTAAGAGCACTTTTCAGATAACTTGATACCAATGATTACCTTAAAAGGGTCTTAATATAACTCTTGTTCAAGATCTAACCATAATCTATTTCATCTATTACTACTGAATCAACTGAGATAAAAGAAAGCCAATTGGTTTAATATTAATTACAGCGATTCCTTCACTCCCTTAACATAGATTAAACACTGCATGTGTCGTCGATTTATTTCTTCTGATGAATTTACCAGCCCCTGAAACTTTGAATATGATGATAAGATATTTGGAAAATCCAAAAGTAAGAAATATTTAGACATACTAAGAGATTATGATCAAATTGAAGAAGTTCCCTTACCTTATTCATACTCAATACTGTTGTAGTTAAAGGTTGTGACTCATCTGTACTTGCGTCACCACATCGGGACAAATGTTGGTAGACAGGCTGAAAATCAACGTGTAACAAAAAATTACTGAAAGTTTGTAAGGCGTGAGTCTTAAATATTTATAGAAAAACGGAGTGTTCTGTATGAATTTATTGAAGGTAAGCTGAGTAATTTTGACAAGTTATATTCCATGACTTTATACTCCAATTAAACAGTGATAAAGAGAAATGACTATACAAGAAATGTAATGCTCGAAAGTCTGACTAACTTTGGATTGAATACATACTTAAAACACAAATTCTGTAAGTGCCTTTAAAGTTCCAGATGATCCAGTTGATTTTTTAACAAGCGTTAACGCTTAACCTTGAGATTAGCCTATGGTAACGCTTCGGTTTGGTGTTTTGTAGCGTCATAATACTCGGTATTCCTTGCAGTAAATCTTCAAGTCTAAATAAGGTTAATTAATTACTTTCCATTGGAAATACGCTTTATATAATGCTACAGTTGTGACCAACGACTATAAAACACCCTTATTTTTTAATGGACTGGAGATTTTGGCAATAATGGTCATGTTGACAAGTATCTCCCTGTTAAGTCCAGTGCTTAGATTTTTAATAGACACCTGTTTTCTGTTAACGAACAAACATTGCATAACCATCCTATCCCATGATTTACTAAATAAACAGTTCGTCAATGGGTCTACTTTATAGCCTGTTTGATCACTAAATTTTGTAAGTGACAGATACATTATTTATATTCCAGATTATTACTCTGCCGCAGCCGTAGTCGTTTGAAACGCTTTTATCACAATTATTATCAACAACCAACAGTTATACATAATAAGTTGTTCACAAGTAATTCATGGGTTAATAACGAGATAGCCCTTTACCTGTTTCTGTTTAAATGAGTAAATACTGGCATGAACTTGAGACAGTATGTATGGCTTAAAATCAAAACACATATATACATTTAGAGACCATGCAACAAGTCTTAAGAGAGTGATTTGGGTCTGCATAATGAATAATCAACAAAATACTTCATAAGTTACACCAAAAATATTACTTAGAACAAGGTTTTATTTATGTACTTCCTAAGGAAAGTACAAATTAGTCAAGTTTTGAGTATTCAAAACAATTGTTCCCACCTCAATAATAACTAGTGATGGTATACATATCAGTAGCTGTGAGCTCCACATATAGGAACAAGAATGATAACCATGATGCTAACTGCGATAGTGATATGTAATACATAGTTATAAGTGATTTTGTCTGTTACTGAATATTAGGCAATTTTCAAACGAAAAGCGCCTACAACCTATAAAAATACGAGAGTTGTGACTTTCATATATATTCGTGTACGTATTAAGTGACACTAAGATAGATGCTGAACAGCCTGAACAGAATACGCTAAGTGAATAAAGACAACTTTTACACTGATTAAAATGATTACTACAGCTTTGTATCACATCAGAAGCTACAAGTCTAACGTTTAAGACTACAAGATGCGGAAAGTCCGTTGTCAGGCTATCTATACTACTACACAGCCTAAAGCTAGTCAGCAAGAGATAATACTAACTCATCCCATATCTATTCCTTAACTTCCCCTAGCCTATTTCGAATTAAACTGATTTCATATGCAGTGTAGCAACTCCGACCGATGGACTACAGTGGATTGTGTTTGGACGCTTATGCTTGTATTGAAGATCTAAATAATAATAATAATAATAATAATAATAATAATAATAATAATAATAATAATAATAATAATAATAATAATAATAATAATATGACAACTAGCCCATTTACTAAATACTTAAGAACGAGTCAAGCTGTGTGGGAACTAATGATGTAACTCAGTTGGCCAAACCGAAGTACGAGGAGCGGAGGTTGACTTAACGATTGGAAGTCAGACAATTGAACTACAAAACTACCGCTCCAATGAATATTTTGCCATGAATGAATAGACAAGGAATCAAACAATCGCTCATCAAAACATTTTATTTTCGGCCAAAAAAGAGGCGAGGCTATAATTTATGGACGAACCAATCACGTACAAGATAGCAGGTCGTGGATTTTTGCGCGAAAATCACTAATCCATTTGAATAAATAGAGTTTTGGCATTATAGCTGACGTCAGTTCGTGATGAAAACCCGAAATCTAATTCCTAATCTTAATCATCAACTGTAAATTATAATTATAATTTCTCGCATAGGTTTATAACTCTCATCTGGTTCTAGTTATTAAGTAGACACTCTCAATGTCAGTCTAGCGTCACTCAAAGGTCGTCCATTAACTATAGTCTCACCAGGTAAATATATGTCAAAAATGTGAACCAACCTTAGAATCTGCGAAGGCCAACCAACGAACCCCAAGCGAAGAAGGTACACTTTTCGGCAAGAAATCTGGCCAAATTGTTGATTTTACATCTTACAAATGTTTGTTAGAAAAAATAACCTACATGCTATCGTATAGAGTTCTGTAAGAGTTAGTGCTGAGAATACTGTTATTGAATCAGTTCGTGTTACTACAACAAACCTAATAGATGATACACCGAATTAAGTGAACGTACCTGTCGTTTGCATCTACTGAGAGCGCTTTCGACTCTAAGTAATACGACAAAACTACTTTGCGATTGCACAAAGAAATAAACCGCACCTGCCAATGAGAAGATGCACAACTACACCAAAATGCGATGTCAAAACTAAGTTCTTACCTGAAAGTATCACAGATAGCCATAAGAGGTCTGCTGGAAAACAAGGAATCACCAGTATCTTAAATACAAGACTAATTAAATTAAAAACACCTACGTGAAGGAGTAGGAAGCAACTTAAGGTCTATTGTACATGTATTTCTCTCTGCATACAGTAGGGTGGCATTACCACCAAACTAAGATGTTAGTTTAAAGAAGAAAATTACCGAAATTCCCCATATGTATGATCCTTTACAAGTGACTATAGATAAAACAGTAGAGTAGGCGCTGTTACATCCTAAGAACTTTAATTTGGGAGACATATCAAAATTACTGCTCGCGTCAAATTCCTCAAATTTCACGCTAAACACCTGTTCTGTGGAGCCACACGTACGATACTGATTCCTGGGCATATAATCACTTAGAGCACCCATAACACTGGTAACAAGATTCCTCTCACTAGACAAATAAGAACTAGTAGGAATTAGGTCTACCTGGACTTTTCTGGAGACACATGAACAAATGGCTGCATTATGTACATATAATGAAGTATCAGTAAGCCAAACAAACTACAGAAGCACAGTTACATATTCCAAAATACAAGACAACCTTGACAGTCAAGTGACCTTGTGTACTAAAGCAAGTGACTCAAGGCCAACCAGTCCAATACATACATAACTTTGTAATATTTTATTGAAAACTAGGTGTCGAACTAATTCATTACCAAATTCGAACTTATTCTACGTTCTCTTTTCTCCGTTGTTGTTCCAATTCACACATTATCTCAAACACGCTAACCATCAGGCATTCACGGCACGCAACCTACCTCAAAATTAGACTCAAATCCACAAGTTATTGAAGGCTAAATAAGTAACATACAAAGTTACTTCTATTGCCCGTTTCATGAGACGACCAAAACACACAGAAACATAAAGAGCAATTTTTGACTGAAAAAGCGTCCCTGACCAACAGTATTATCATATTTTCCCACACCCCGTCCAGTCACTGAACCTTTACCCTGTAGCGGTAAATAAATCCCCAAACTAAATAGCTCTGTAGGTTTTCGACATTGGAAGCCCACGTAAAAGCATTTCACGTAAACGATCTGTCTCCAAACCACGAGAGACGGATAACCCCGACTCGTGCTGGTATCATAACCAGTATGGAAAGTCTTCCAGAAATTGCAGAAAACCCTGCAATTTTCCCAAAACAAAAACGAATAAATCGATAAACAACTCGGGAAACTTCCAAGCCGGCACGCGTTAACGGCAACCGTAGCCGGCGAACATAGCCGTCTGTTGTACGTCACAGATGTGACAACGAGAGTTCGCTACCTCGTCGACACTGGCGCAGAAGTTAGCGTTCTACCAGCAAATCATAACGAACGGCTCCACGAATCAACTCTAAACTTACAGGTGGCAAACGGAAAACCGATCGCTACGTATGGCAAAAGGTACGTTTACCTTAACGTGGGGGCCAGTGAAATGTCACTGAGCCCTAGCCAAATCAACCGGCAGTTGAATCACTGATTATCGAGCAAATCATCGATCCTCTCAAGGTCAAGGACAACCAACGCGCATTAGTTAATCGTATGCCATGGACTGGCCCATGCGTCAGTGGTATAACTTTCGCTTGTATCTACTTTAACTAATATATTTCTGTAATAACGTCCTCTGTGTTGAACATTCTTCAAAGCAGCTATGGTGCCTTGATACGTCGATGGGGTAGTCCACGTAAGGTGCTGACCACGAGGTGTGAAATCGACATTAGTTATTTTGTCACACCATTCACGTCTAACTCGAGTAGGCCTCCAATCATTTCGACATAGATCATCTACGTTGGTGATCTACAACACTTTAGAGTACAGACGTCTTAGAGGTGACATTCTAATGGCTTACAGCATCCTTAAAACTTCTGGACATCCCCTTAAACACCTACTTAAATTTAGCTCCAACCCAAACCTAGGGGGTATACCCAGAAACTGAAGACGCCATACAGAAAAACAGACTGTAGAAACAACTTTTACTCCCTAAAATTAGTCAAATACTGGAACTCTCTGCAGGCTGAGCTTGTCCAAGCGACCTCCTAGGAGTCCTTCAAGAGAAAACTTGACAAATTCTTAAGGACCAAGAACAATCTCCTACTGTGATTTACCAATTTCTTTTTCCTGTTTTATCGTTAATATACCTAGGTTCCTGCCTGGAGGTAGTGGTGATCCATTGCTACAAAGTGTGGGAGCGAAAGCCTTCTCTATTCCGTTTAAAATCGTCACATATAACCGCTCGTCTCAAATAGGGCAGTGATTTAGTCCATGTTCTAATTAATCTTGCATGTGTACTTTTTGCGGCAAAAGTATGCTTGGTCTAATTTAATTCGAAGTATTTCGATTAGGGTTTGAAATTTTGCTAAACTTTGCCTTGTAGTAGCTTCTTTCTCATTTAATCCGACACTTGAAATTCATACTGTGATCAAACTGTGTTTTAAACCTTCTTTATCAAATAACAATGTTTGGCAGTACTTATAAATGTGGACAGCCAAACTTTTTACTCCTCGTGGAGGAAGTAATGTGATGTGATGAATGTGAAAAGTGATTCCATGAAATGTGTACCCGTTTACATGCGACTGCATAAAAAAGATGCTCAATGGCCCTATCTGTTTCGCCGTACGAATAAGACGTAACTAATCCAGAGGGCTATGAGCCTATTAGCTTCGGTCTGTAAAAAGAAAGATTAAGATTGCGCTAGCAACATGGGTACTGACAGTGAAGAATGTGTCAGTGTAGTACGTGCTGTTACGAGGCTCCTTAAACACCCGACTGTTGTTAAGGTACTATGAAGATTTTGGAGTCATACTAAGCAGAGACCTCAAAACTATGAGTAACTGTAAGGCCGCTGCTGTAAAAGGCTACAGTCTATTCGTAGGTCTTTTCAGTATTTGGACGAAGAAACCTTTAGATTAATATGCCCGACTTTCGTGAGACCTCATTTTGGATATGAGTCATTCTTGTACAACCAACCTACTGACTGCGGTGGACAGATGGACAACCATCCTTGATTTTAACTGGAAGGTTGACGTCATTTATCCTGAAAAGGGTCCCTCAGGGTTCAGTACTAAGACCGCTCCTTCTCTTGATTTATATAAACGATCATCCACAACAGGTATCGTCTAACTTATTGCTTTTTTCAGATGATTTGAAACAGTGGAGAGAGATATGCAACCAAGACTATATACAAGCATTCTTCAGGAGGATCTGACTCGAATTCAAAGTTGACCAGACGACAACGGACTTACCCTTAACACTTCAAAGTGTAAATTAGTCCATCTGCAATATGTCGCAGACTACAGTTACAACTTAAGAGACTTAAGAGACACCTCAACTTATTTCTGTTATTTTATGGTAGAATACTGTGTGATCAAATGTTGGCCATGATCTTAGTATGAATGTCTTGTATTCTTCTTCCGTCTAAGACTGGTCATTTAAGAAGACATTCGGAGGACGTTCAAAAACCGAGATTAAATCATCTACATCTGGAGTTTCGTTTCTCTCACCGAGTAGTGAATTAGTAGAACTCCTACCAGAACACGAAATATTAGCATCTTATGTTGATATTTTCGAAACGACATTAGACTTCTACAGTGTTAAAAACTGCAAGGAATGATTTAGACTCTTTTCCTTGCTACTAAAGACTAAGGAATTGAGTAATTTGTCAAAGGTTTATGCGGGCCAATTGGAGGTGACGGTACTTGGTGTTACAGGGGTTCTTCCGTCGTATCTACTTATATTCGATGGACTTTAATTTTTCGCACAGTAAGCGTTTGGATCTTACATCCACAAATTTTTTAAAAAGGTTTCTACTATCGTTTGGTAGTTTGAGTGTATTCTTCTACAGGTTTCTTACATTTTGGGTTTTTAGTCTCATTTCCCCAAAATTTACCCAAAATTGATCAAATTTTCCCCAAAGTTGGGAGCTTGGGTACTTTGTTGATAATAAAGATTTACGTTTGTCCATAGATAGATTGGTTTTCAACGTATCGAAAATAAATCCGGTTTTAATTTTACTTGATATGAGGTGAATATACTTCCATACATCAACGGGTGTGTCTTGCTACTGCATTTGATAAATTTATTAATTTATTTGAACACAAATATCAATAAAAATGGTCACTTGATACTCGATACATATACGCAACACATGTCAAATGACATGTGCGTGGGCTATGATACTGGCCGAGTGCCCAAATTCAAGGAGGCATTTGGTATGTGATACGAAGTACCCAAGAAACAGTGAAGCTGAAACTGAGGCGATATTCTTATGGTAAATTTGGTGCAAATTATGATGAAATGCGCCAAAATGTTTATTTTGTCACGTGCAGTAGGGGAACAGTATGATGTCTCTTTAATTTATTCTTGGACGATAAACGTCTCAGAATTTGCAGCAAGTAGTTTACATTCCTGCTAAACAAGTACTCGCAAGACCATCTACTGCTAGCCCTTGTCCCTTCAAGGATACAGACTTTTTACACAGTCGATCGGACTTAGAGATATGGTATGTGTTTTAAAAGACGTATATTTACAAAAGTTGTAATCACAATCTACAAGATATAGATCTATAAATATCATCTTTAGAAAACCATACATCTTATGAATAATTGATTAGCACATAAATATGACTACGTCACTAGAAGGGAATGTCTCAGTGAGAAATCATCGGGGTCATAGGAAGACCCCGATAGCGAAACATTACTTTTAGATATTTCCACCATTAAATACTCTTTGTAAAGACATTTCCATATACACTACATATTCTTCTGCAAAGAGCCCGTTTAATCGATTACTTAAACTTATTTCAAGGCTTTTTTAGTGTTTTTCTAAGTCTTTGTCACTAGACGCTATCGAAAGCTTCACTGAAATCTGTAAATGAAGCATCAAGAAGTTCAATCCCATCCTTTATTGGAACCCAGTTTTATCTTGAAGTGAAGCGTTTCACTCTGTTCCATGATAAGTAGTTGGTTTCACGTGACGCAAGACAATATCGCAGATTGTATTTCTTATCACTTCGATAACTATACTGATCTGACCGAACGGATGATATTTATTCTTCTGTTATCTATACTCAGTTTTATAATCTTGCTCTGTAAAGCCATTTAGTATTGATTCGAACCATGTGAATTTACGAATCTCTCTCATTTACTGTGATAAACTGTTGCATTTATCACTTTCAATACACAATACGAAAATGCTGACGTTGTGGTAAACGAGATGTGTGAGTGCGGTTATTGAGCATCTAAAATTTTACGTTAACAATATTTCCCAATATTATCAACCCAGCCGATGACCATTTGTCGATTGAGAAGAATATGTCTTATGCATAACACCACTCTTTATATACAGATTGCATTTCTAATCAATAATAATGACATCTAACTAACTTTAACTTCAGACGAATTTTATATTGAATGCATGTGAAAAGTGAATGAAATAATCTCCCAAATATAACAATATCATACTAAAATAATCAATAACAGATTTTACCGAAACCTAGTTGAATATTAACTGGGCGATTTTCTTATTGAACTAATCAACATCTTTACTCTTGATCGCCTCTTATCGTAAACAACCGAGGATCTGGCTAAATTGGCCGTCGCCTCGCAATGTAATAACAGCGAGAAGAAATCAAGATTGATAGCAGAGACGTGGATGTAATAGTAGTTTCTATGATTTAATGAAGCTAACTTAAAAATATGATTCAGAAATAGAGAATAAGAAGTATGAGCGTTGAATCGCAAGACAAATTTTTGGCCTTTCCACCGAACCTCTTCAATTACTGGTCACGATAATTGTGAGGACACCAACACAACAACCTGTTTAGACCAATGGTTATTGACTTTATAGACTAACGACGCTCTTTGGTTTGACCACACATAGCTTTCTTCCAACCTACTCTTACATCAGTCATCATTGATCACCAAGGTAGGCGGTGAACGGGCATATTATGCAATAGGCGTCTCAAATACTTCGCCCGATGAATATTCACTACCCATCTTTGACTAGTATCCTGCATCTCTTCTCAGCATTGCTCATCTGGTGTTCTCAACTTACCTAACGAATGCTTCAAAGGTACCTATTCAGATACTGCGTACCTACGAATATCCTCTGTTTAAAGACCATGTTTTGCAACCATAAAATGGGACAGAATGAACTACAACTAGCTATGTTCGTCCTTCGGTAGACAGAGAGACATGTTTCCCACACCACGGGTTACGTAAGTTAGCAAAAGCCAACCAAACTTTCCGAATATTTGCTGTGATTTCATCAGGCAATGACCTTTGAGGTGGAACCGTCAGGATAAGTGAAGTGGTGGACCCACCCAGGTACTTCACTCCCTATCATTATTTCAGGGGTTGACACAAATCAGTCCTAATTCAACATTTTGTGTATAGAAGGAGATAAGTGCATCTCAAACATGTTTTCATTATTGCTTAATATATTCAAAAGACTGCTTTTTGTCTGAGTCTTTATTAGACAGAAATATGTCATCTATGTACTTTAAGTTAACGAGTGAATTTTCTGACAAGGGGTCAATTCTTGGAAAGCTAGTTGATAAGACAATGAGTCTGTCAGTCTTCTGTTTTTAAATTCATTCTCTTCTAGATGGTCACCCTAGTTTGCTCCATATCGTTCTGATTGGATGGATCTACTTTTTTACTTTCAAACTATTATAAGACATGTGAAACGGAAACTTGACGTAATATTATCCACTTTTCTTGATGTATTTGTCACCAGCTTTTTATCCCTTTTATAACTGGAAAGGTTTCTCTTTCTTTTCTGGTAATCGATTCTGAAAATCAAGATCTGTGTGACTTTAAGAACGTTTTTTTTAATTTTTAGCTTCAGCATATTTGGTGAATGCAGAATACTGAATGAAATGAGTTTAGGAAGAAGTTCTCGAGAAGTTGTATACATTAAAGCCAAAGTAAGATCAACACATTTTCATAGCTCAAATCTTTTAGCTTAGCACAGAAAGTGGTACTGACCAATATAAGAAATTCGCAATTGATCCAAATATTACAGATTACAAAGTTCTTTTTGGTTTGCTGCGTAAATGCTTTGATATTAACTGGTAAACTATTTGTCTATTAGCAGACTTTTTAAAAATGGTTATTTAGTGGTATCTTATAATGTGAAAGATCTCATGAATAAACAAAGCAGATGATCAAAATTTTCGCCATAATCTTCCTGTTTTGTGATTGTGTTGTATCTAGCATCGACAGAATTAAGTCGATTTGGGGAGGAAATAAGTGTGTGTCTAGAAGGAGGATTAATAACAAGAAAGACTTCATATGATGTAGATACATATCGGCTGAATTGATATAATATTTATCGCACACGTTCGGTCATGATTTCTAGGCGTCGTATTGACTTAATTATATTTGGAGTTGAGCAGTCCTCAGACTAAAAAATGACATGTCCATAGTTTTTACCACAGGCCATATTAAATAATTGCTAGGTAGAGTGCACAAAATAACGGTAATTAGTGCTCATTTTATTTACAATATTTAGAATGTACTTCGAACATTTGTGTAGTTGATTCTAATGTCTTTTCTACTGAAAATACTTTATTGTCCTGTCAAAATGGTGTACAATATGGTGGTTTTGAAAGGAACTTTTTTTTAAGTAAGGTATAAAACAAGTTCACAATTGTATTGAAAATATTAGATAGCAAACATAAATACTGATGCTGAAGTTATTTTTGATGTAAATAACTAAACATGTTTAAAATAGTAGAAAATTAAATGCTAAATTGCCCTTCAATACTTACGGTATTCACGCTGTACTTTTCAGCGCAACAACTAGAAATACTTTACAACTAACTTTACATTTCATATTGCTATACTACTGTGAAAAGCTTTTTAGAGGAAATTTGTCTTAGAAGCGAGCCTTCATCATTTACCTCAGTTTCATTATCTCTATTTGTGAAACCACGACAGTCATGATATGACTTCCTCATTTGACATGGGTTAGTTTATAAATGACGAGATCTATCATTACCCTATGCATCCTAATTCTTTAAAGTCAAGTGACTTAATATTTTTACTTCTACTTGTTAAACACAGTATACATCCTGTAAAGGAATTCTTACATTATATCGGGTGAATATTCCTAATTATTCATATCTGTTGAAGTGATTCACAAATATGTTTATCACACACTTAACAAAGTACATAAAGGAAACTATATTATTTGTTGGTTTAATTTTAGTGATTTCTCGGTGTGTTACTTGGCTATTGATGAATTCGGTGAACAGTTTTATTTACCTTTACAATCCGACTGGGATCTGGATGCGTCGATAGTCACGTCATCTGATTCCACTTTGCGACTTAAAATAACCCTAAAGCCTAAAGTTTCTGGTATGTTTTTTAAATGTTTTGTTTTTTCAATAGTTTTACTTAGTGAATGATTTGAATACAGTAAAGTAGGATAATGTAAAGCTTCTGAGAAAAGTTTCTTAGTGATTTGACCACTTGAATTCTGACATTTGTCATGTAAAGAGATATCTTCTCGTACTAAGAATGATCTCACACTTATTGTATAGATTCTACATCTCATCCTATCTACACAACAGTAGGTAGAACAGGTTTTGGATCTTCCTTCAGTTGGTTAAAATATCTTCACAAACTCTGTGATCTACAGTCCCATTCGGATTATAGAAACCGAAGGCAAGTGCATTCCTATCAAGTACATTGTATTATTCACTCCAGATGTATACTGTATCTATTGTTTTCTAAATGCTTTGCTAATAACAGTTTTTTTGAAAAATTACTAGAAAAATTTGATTATAATTCATTTTAAGTTAGAGTCGAACGGATTAACTCATATTATACATTAATTGTCATTTCGACCATTCTTTTGATAAATACTCTTACTTACAATCCGATCCCACTGTTAATTTGTCGTTTCTAATCCAGATTTTCAGTAAAATTACTATCTTTCATTTTATACTTCTGACTTTCAGAACTGTTAACATGGTACATATAGTTTCAAGTGGAACTTGAAGTTTCCATTTTCAACTTTCCCAATAATATTTATATTCTCATCATGTTCAATATTTAAATACTGTTCAGTGTTAAAAATCTATTTTGTTCGAATTATCGGTATTTATAATTAAAGATCTCTAATAGGAGCTAATTAATTTACGGACTATGAATTCTTTAGGTCGAAAATGAAAGTAAGTGTTCTTCTTCACATTTTAGGGGTTAATCACGTGTCTTACTTTTGAATAGTTCACTTCATTCTATACATCATCTCTCTCTATTCCAAATTAGATCTTCAAGACTGGGATATTATTATTCCAAGTGGTGTTCAGTCTATCTCCAGAAGAAGAAAGTCGCAAAATGATACAAAAAATGATCTAACATTCAGTGATTCTAAAGGACCATCACTTTTTTCACAAATTACTCAACGACTTGAAAAAACTGTTGCAAATATGCGTAAGGCTATAGGTAAGACTTTATTTACCCGTTTATACAGTTCTTTTATCAGGTAAAAACATAAGCTTAACTATATGATACAAAATTTCTGTAGCCTTAAGTTTCAATGTTCAGTACTTCTTGTAACTTAAATTGATGAGGATGTGTTACTAGCAAAGGAAAGTCTCCCATAGGAACATGTTAGGTAGTAACTCAAGCTGAAGATAAACGTAGTCTTGATTTAAACTTGTTTTATTTCAGTACGTTGTTGTAAGTAAAGTTTTAAATCAATACATGATAACTTAAAAAAAAGTCGTACTGAAAAGTGATGTAATTCAAAAAATTGCCAGCATTCAAGGGGTTCCGTACTTTTGCTTCATTTATGATGTACATTGTAATTTGAGACATTAATCTCGATCCAATTTTCCGTTTGTCCCGATAAAATAGCATAGTTATTCTCAAATAGCATCTTTCAAACAGAATCGTGATTCAGTGAGTTGTTCATTCGACTTCTCATCAATGAATTATGGCTTTAAATTTCGATCCCACGTGTAGTAATGTAGGTAATCGGATGGTATCGTTGACCTCACAAATTAACTATACATTAGAGCCTCATATGTAAATTAACAACTTTACTTTTCTACACTGTTATTACTGTTTCAGGAATTGGAATGGATGGAGATGATATGTTTCACACTATCCATCCTCCGATATCAGAATTACAAATGAGATTATACATGGATGATAATGGACGCATTATATATCTAAATCAATTCTAGTAATTACTGCATATTTCATCCAGTTTTGATGTATTGTTAGTTTATTAAGCTGAATTGAGTTTAAATACAGCAGTTTTATATTTTCCTAAGAATAAGCCTTAGTTTAATAAAGGTTAGTGGACACTTTTCAATAACTTGTTCAAAAGATTAGGAAAAACCCTTCTAACATACTACGGAACCAATTATCCCTACATTTCAGGGAAAAAGTGTAATTTATTTATGTGTTATTTCTTGAGTATTACACGATATATTTCTCCAAAACTAATTTCACTATAATATAAATTGTTTACCGAATAAGGAATTATTTACTTCATTCTAAGCCACGCGATTTATGTCCAAGTGATGTGCTTGATTGCTATTACGAGTTCACTTTACTCGGTAACCGGAACGAAAGTCAAAGATACAGTGTCAGTCAATCAGTCAGCTACAACGTAGGACCAGGCACATATGTGCATCGGTCCAGGTTGCCATACCGCATCAGCACAACAAGATGAACACCGGATTCATAACAGTGGTTAGGTAAAAGGTGGTAATATATAAGAGAAAGATTGCATATAGAGATATAGTACAAGAAGAAAGAATTGGTTCGTAGAAAGAAAGATATGAAGCGATTTTAATCTCTTAGTTTAAGGGAAGACAGGGAGTGTATACACCGACGCCATTTTGATCGATTCTGAGCCATGTCACCAAGAGTCTCCAACCATTGGTTACGATAGTTACGCGGACCCCAACCAAGTAGTCTGCATCTACCAACATGGCTCAGACTAGAAGTTAGTGACTTCAAGCACTGATGCCACGTTTTGGTTTGGCCGCCCCTAACTTTCTTCCAACCATTTCCAATACCGGATAGCATTGCACGTCGTGGTAATCGGTATTCAGGCATATGTAACACGTGGCCCAACCATCTCAGTCGATGAAGATTCATAACCTCATCAACTGATTTACCATCCTTTCCTAATACACTGCTTCTAACCTCACTATTACTTACCCGGTGATCCCAGCAGATGCCAGCAATATTTCTAAGGCATCTGTGGTCAAATACTAGTAGCTTACGAGTGTCTTCTACTCTTAAAGGCCATGTTTCGCTGCCGTAAAGTAAGACAGAACGGACTGCCGCGCAGTATACTCGTCCTTTTATTGATAGACGGATATTTCGCCTTCGCCAAAGGTGACGTAAGTTGGCAAACGCCTAACGAGCTTTTCGAATTCGTGCTGAAATTTCGTCAGACACCAACCCATTAGGGCTGATCAGACTTCCAAGATAAGTGAAGTTGTCAACGCGTTCGACCACTTCACTACCTATCCTTAGTTCAGGTGTTAACGCAGACCAGTCCTGAAGCAACAACTTGCATTTAGAGGGAGAGAAGCGCATTCCAAACATCCTGGCATTGTTGCTCAGTGCTATCAGAAGACTCTGCATTTTGTCAGCGTCTTCGCCAAACAGGACTATGTCATCTGCGTATTCTAAGTCGATAAGTGGACCTCCTGGATGGAGATCAATACCCGAGAACTTAGTCGACGAGAAAGTTATTTCCGTCAGTAGATCTATGATGAAGTTAAACAAAAATGGGGAAAGTGGACATCCTTGACGGACACCACTTGAGGTTGCAAAAGTAGATGACAGTTCGCCATAAGCTCTCACTCGACTAGTAGTGTTCGAGTAAAGAGCCTTTACAAGGTTTATGCAGTTCTGAGGCACATATTTTAATGACGGACACTGCCACAGAACCTATCGGTTTCCAAAGTCAAGTGCTACTTTTAATTCAAGAAAGACCACCATTGTCGGACGCCGATAAGTATGCCTGTGTTCTAGAACCTGACGAATGGTGAATATGTGGTCGATGCAGCCACGACTAGGTCTGAAGCCAGCTTGGTTTTCTCGTGTTTGCAGTTCACGAGTTTTAGTTAGGCGTCTGATTATTATTGAGGCTAGTATTTTAGATATTATATTAGTTAAACTAATCCCTCTGTGGTTGTCACAGGATGATTTTGACCCTTTCTTATATATTGGGACGATAAGTGATTGTGACCAGTCAGATGGAATAACGTCTAACTCCCAGATCTTGGCTAAAATATTAGTCAACCTAATCGCTAAAATTGGACCACCATCCTTAAAGACTTCTGGAGCCAGTCCATCTGGACCAGCTGCCCTTCCTCGTTTCAGATTATCTATAGCCTTTCGAACTTCAGCAAGAGTTGGGGGACCTACTTCAATGTTCCATTCACGCTGTTTGGGAATGGAGGGTAGTTGTAGAGTAGCTGAAGGCCAGCTGAACTGTTCTCTGAAATGTTCCGCCCATCGTTCTAAGCGCCTGGACTGGGAGCAGATGAGTGTATCGTCTTTTTCCGATATAATCTCACTTACACTTGACTTATTAATTCCAGTCTCTTTTATTAGTCTGTAAAGCTGTCTTGTGTTCCCTATAGTCGCCGCCTTTTCCATCTCTTTTGCTTTCGTTGCCCACCACTGCTCACGGTCGTTTCTTAGACTTTTTCTTAACCTAGATCTGATTTGTTGTCGCTCTTCATCATGTTCGCAACCTGATGGGACGAGTTTGCGAGAATCCATCAGTGTGATAGACTTTGAAGAACTCCACTGGTTCTTTGAAACTCTGTGGTTTAAGTTGCTAATAGATGTCACTGCTGCTTCCACAGCTGCTTGTATGTCTTTCCAAGCAACATCTGGGTCAGCCTCGTCTTCAGAACTACCTAAGTGTAAACTCAGTTGTTCTTGGAACCTAGTTTTGGTTTTCTCGTTACTCAATTCAGTTCTAATGGGTTATTTTAATGTGACTTTTTTGCGTCCAGTGAGGCGCAAGCAGATGCGTGCCCGTATTAGGGCGTGGTCAGAGTCCAAGCAGGTACTCCAGAATGAGCGACAATCTTCTACCGACCCTCTCCAACGATGACTGATGGCAATATGGTCTATTTGAGTCCATCGTTGGTTTGGTGTAGGGGGTCGCCATGTTAGACGATGTCTCTCCTTATGCTTAAAATTTGTGTTTGCTAAAAATAAGCGATTGTCTGAGCACAGTTGCAGCAGACGGTTACCATTATCTGTTCGCTGTGCCGGAATGCTAAAATATCCACATAAATGCCTTTCTGTTTGGTTTACGCTATCTATCTGAGCATTAAAGTCACCCCCTACGAGTACTATGTCTGAGCGTTTAGCTTTCTGAAGAAGTTCAGAAAGCTTTCTGTAAAATTCATCTTTTACATCGTCTGAGATGCAGTCAGTGGGAGCGTAGGCAGAAACGACAAAAAGGCAACGACGTGTGTCTCTATCCTTCCGAGTTCTTACGGAGCCGTTTAGCCGAACAGCACATAGACGACTCTTGACGGGGATCCACTCTAGCAGTGCTTGTTCCGCCCTCATGCTTAGTGCTATGCCTACACCTGCCAGTCCACGAGAACTGGCCATCGGGTCACCAGATACACGTAGGGTGTATCTCGTTGGCTCTCCGTTTTGCCGAGGTGAGGTCAAGTGAATGACCACACTGGAATCCTGTATGCGTGTTTCGGAGACACAGCATACATCAATGGAAAGAGGCTCTAGGGTTTTAGCCAAGGAAGCCTGCTGACCGATTTGACATAGAGTGCGTACGTTGAAAGCTCCAATGTGTAGTTTGGAGCGAGGTTTCAGTAGACCTGGGACAGAGTTTTGAGCACTAGAATCGTTGGCTATGGTGACACTTGAAGAGGAAGCCGAAGGAGGAAGTTTAGGGTTGAAAGTCGATGTAGGAGGAATAATAGGAATTGAAGAGGAAGGTTGATTATGAATACAGTGGTCTTGAGTGCTGTTAGAGGTATGAGGGCGGTTATCACTTCCCGGTTGCCCACACCGTGGAAGGGTTCTTCTGGAGGTGCCTGAAAAGGAAATTGGATTAGAGGTGGTCTCAGCGACCTGAGAGCGTGACCGCAGTGCCCAAGGGACAACTGCTTGAGGCCGGTCGCGCACGGCCTTTTCGTGGAAGGTTTTTGATATGTTAGCTCCGTTCTTCAAAAAGCCTTACCGCCGGAGACGGAAATCCGTGAGGTAAGGCGAGGTGTGCATTTTTAGGGTCGACCTTTTCTAACCCCACCCCTCCTTGTGGGAAGGCAGCATCGCTGTCATGCTGGTTGTCTGAAGGAAACACCTTACTGCTGTCACACCTCTGTACAGTCAGCATTACGACTTCGCCTTTGGACCTTAGGTTTGTTGTTTTTAGTCTTACCGCTCTTCAGCCGACCTGTCTGACATGGTAGAACCTTGAGGAACGGTTGTTCCAGCCAGTATAGCTCGGTTACTTCATCACGATAGGCAAGCCCGACCACCACGTCAAGATAGCAACAACGGTCGGGAAAGATACAGTGACATGATAGGCTATTCTAATCCATTGTCCCCGGCCCTGCTAACTAGATCAAGAGGTCTTGATGAGGCGTAGAGAATGTATTCTACAAGCACTCAGAAAATGCGAGGTCACGAAGCACACAAATCAAGCTTATTTATACAATGATAGAAACGCCCTTGGGAGAGCCACAAAATAGCCTACTAAAAAAATCCGTCAACCAATGACGGTTAGGGATTTCCGAGTGGAAAATGTAAGCTGTAGATCAACTAAGCGTCTCTTGGCGCGGAAACATAAATTTCAAATTTTCGGAGTAAAATTACAAAATTAGGACCTTTTTTCAAGTTAGTTTTGGGGATCTAACGTCTTCAACACTAAGGTATAGCAGAGCAGAGTTCAAACTGGCAACTTACTTGTTGGAAGTCAGATTGCTTTAACTCATTTCAGCATAGAGTGTCAACAATCTTAATTTCAATAAACAAACTTTGTCAGTGAAGCACTTAACTGATTTTTAACGATTCTATTAAGTAATAGAGACTATATTGTTTCAATTAAGATTTAATGTCCTCTACAAAAATTCGACAACTCACTTCTACATTTTGTTGTAATTTTTAAATTCAGCTTCTCCGGTTGTTAGGGTTGATTTACTCTTCAAAATAAATAAAACTCAACATTTATATCGTTGAGGTGTTTTGTAGATATGTGGCTCAATATTCTGTTTCCAGCTTCTGATTGACAAGTTTAAAGCCTATGTTGATTTTGACTTTTAGGTTGCTTTACTCAACCGTCTTAGCCTTTCTGGACATCATTAGCACAAAATTGAAACAAAAACAGACGGTCTCATATAGATTTCTGGGATGTAGTTACTAGTCTAGTCTGTTGATTTGATATATAACTGGGTGTTATTTTCATCTCTAATCGTGTGGTTATTGCTATTCTGCACATGTTTTGAGGAGCCTTACCTTGACTTTGTTATTTTTTATTAACTTTTCTTGATTCTACAGCTCAATTGAATAGTTCAAAATGTTCTGACTAGAAAAATCAATACTCTACCTTTTGATGCATTGTATTTCTGTGATATCTTGCATCAACTCTTTAATTATGATTGTTAGTCCTGTCTAATAAAATAAAATTGTTAAATATAGAGTTTATAAAACGCCTATACATTCTCTGATTATAGTATGCTAAATAAATTATGTTTTTCTCAGCCTAGATGTTTATCTAAATGGTCTAGAGCACAGTTTACGTAAAGTTGGTTGGCGTATATTATTATCAGTTTGTCCAGCGGACACAACCGGTCAAGAACGTTTTCATTTACTGGATATCAAAGCGCAACAGTATGCTACTCTTAAGGAAAATTGGAAAAAGTTATACGTAATGGGTTTGATGTCTGAACATCAACTATCTACATTAGCTTCAATAAGCATAGATGTTGTTCGTACAGATTGGAGTAAGCTTTTTTCCCGTAAATATTTTTCCAGGATTCTTACTCGGTGATCAAATTTCTTTATTCAACTTTTAACTTGTCGTTACAGTAGTTTTATTCCAGAAATTATTAAAAGAACTAATTTCTACCAGTTGATGAGTGTGATTATCTCGCTAAGAACCGTTTGCTGTTTCCGTAGACATTCTGATATTATCTGAAAATTCTCATTATAATTTATTCTATATGAGTAAATTTAGTTTAATTAAGTTTAAAAAAACAACGCAGAAAAATATGACAAATTAAAATTAAACATTCCTAAAATAGTAGCAAACCGAAATAATTTGTACTACTGAAAAGAATCTGTAATTGTATTTAGCTAAAGTAGTAGTTAATTTTTGAAAAATAAATTTCCGTATTTTTATCTCATATAACAAATTTGTAAGTTCATGAGTTCTTTCTAATATATTCAATACTTACTTCGGCTCAACTGAAGATTGACACGTTAGCAAAAAATTCTTGAATTTTCTCACTGGTGAAGAATTATGAATTTAGTGAGCAATCTAACTTCGTTACCTACAATTTTGAAACTATGTGCTGCTAATACTATTATATCAATGATTCTGAGGGGTGTGGCTATTGTTCTAAAAGTATACAGGTGTTAGCGACAAAATTACGTATATTAGGTTTTAAAATTGCTGTGTATCAGGCTCCCTGCTCAGTATACATAGGATTCATCAGTCAGTAGTGATTATTTTACTTCCTTTCTTTTTGTATGCAGCTCATGAAGTGTAAAGTTGGGAGTGAGGTATATACCTCTAAATGAATTATCATGCTAAACTTACTTACTTACTTACGCCTGTTACTCCTCGTGAAGGAGCATAGGCCGCTCACCAGCATTCTCCATCCAACCCTGTCCTGGGCAATCCTTTCTAGCTGCTTCCAGTTGTAATTCATCGTTTTCATATCTGCTTCTATTATCCGACGCAATGTGTTCTTTGGCCTTCCTCTTGTTCGCTTCCCTTCAGGATTCCAAGTTAGGGCTTGTCTCGTGATGCAGTTTGAAGATTTGCGTAATGTATGTCCTATCCATTTCCATCGTCTTTTCCTAATTTCTTCTTCAGCTGGAAGTTGGTTTGTTCTCTCCCACAGAAGGCTATTGCTGATGGTATCCGGCCAATGGATGTTGAGTATCTTGCGTAGACAACTATTTATAAATACTTGTACCTTCTTGATGGTTGTTGTTGTAGTTCTCCAAGTTTCAGCTCCATACAGTAGAACTGCCTTGACGTTGGTATTGAAGATTCTCACTTTGATATTGGTTGAAAGTTGTTTTGAGTTCCATATGTTCTTTAACTGTAGGAATGCTGTCCTTGCTTTGCCAATCCTTGCCTTTACGTCTGCATCTGAACCTCCTTGTTCGTCGATGATGCTTCCTAGGTATGTGAAGGACTCTACATTTTCCAGAGTTTCGCCATCAAGAGTGATTGGGTTGTTGTTTTCCGCTTTGAATTTGAGGACTTTGGTTTTCCCTTTGTGTATGCTGAGGCCTACTGATGCAGAGACTGCTGCTACACTGGCTGTCTTCATCTGCATCTGTTCATGTGTACGTGATAGGAGGGCTAGGTCATCTGCGAAGTCCAAATCGTCTAATTGATTCTGAGCTGTCCATTGAATTCCGTGTTTTCCTTCAGATGTCGAGGTCTTCATAATCCAGTCGACCACCAGAAGAAAGAGGAAGGGAGAGAGTAAACAGCCTTGTCTGACTCCGGTCCTTACTTGGAATGCATCTGTCAGCTGTCCTCCATGCACGACTTTGCACTGTAGTCCGTCGTATGAGTTCCGGATAATGTTGACAATCTTCTCAGGAACTCCATAGTGTCGAAGAAGTTTCCATAACGTCCTCCTATCTACACTGTCAAATGCTTTTTCATAATCAATGAAGTTGATGTATAGTGATGAATTCCACTCAACTGATTGTTCGACGATGATCCGTAGTATTGCAATTTGGTCTGTGCATGATCGATCCTTACGGAATCCAGCTTGTTGATCTCGAAGTTGGGCGTCTACTGCATCTTTCATTCGGTTCAGCAACACTCTGTTGAAGACCTTCCCTGGTATTGACAGCAGTGTAATGCCTCTATAGTTTTCACATTTGCTCAGATCTCCTTTCTTTGGAATCTTGACGAGGTGCCCTTCTTTCCAGTCCATCGGCACTTGTTCCTCTTCCCAAATCTTTTTGAATAGAAGATAAAGCATGTTTGTAGTTGCTTCGATGTCTGACTTCAGTGCTTCAGCTGGTATGTTGTCCGGACCCGCTGCTTTCCCGTTCTTGATTTGTCTGACGGCCATTCTGATTTCTTCCTTCGTTGGTGGGTTGACGTCTATGGGAAGATCTGTGTGTGCCGCTTCGATGTCCGGTGGATTCATTGGAGCCGGCCTATTCAGGAGTTCCTCGAAGTATTCTACCCATCTGTTCCGCTGTTGTTGAATTTCGGTGATTGGCTTGCCTTCTTTGTCTTTGACCGGTCTCTCTGGTTTACTGTATTTTCCTGCTAGTTTCTTCGTTGTATCGTAAAGCTGTTTCATATTTCCTTCTCTAGCAGCTTTTTCTGCCGTCGTTGCTAGTTCTTCCACATATTTCTTCTTGTCGGCTCTAATGCTCCTCTTCACTTGTTTGTTTGCTTCTATGTATTCAGCTTGTGCTTGGACTTTCTCTGCTCGTGTTCGGCTGTTGTTAATTGCTGCCTTCTTGTTCTTCCTTTCTTTGATCTTGTCCAGTGTTTCTGTAGAGATCCATTCCTTATGATGGTATTTCTTTAGACCCAGAACCTCTTGACACGTTGAAGTCAATGCTTCCTTGATGCCTTTCCAGTTGTCCTCCATGCTAGTTTCTTCTTCTTTCAGTAGATCTTGTAAGGCTTGGAACCTGTTGTTGAGAGCTATCTTGAATTCATTGAGTTTGTCAGTATCTCGAAGGAAGGCTGTATTGAACCTTTGTATTGCTGTTTGTCCACTTGTCCGGTTCTTTTTTAGCTTCAGTTTTAAATTGGCCACAACTAGGTGATGATCTGAAGCTACGTCAGCACCTCTCTTGGTTCTCACATCTTCCATTGTCCTTCTGAATTTTTTGTTGATGCAAATATGATCTATTTGGTTCTCTGTAGTGTGGTCCGGTGAGATCCATGTAGCCTTGTGTATACGCTTGTGTGGAAATATTGTGCCTCCTATGACCAATTTGTTGAATGCACATAGATTTGCAAATCTTTCTCCATTTTCGTTTCTTTCTCCCAGTCCATGTCGTCCCATAATATCTTCATATCCAGTGTTGTCTATTCCGACTTTGGCATTTAGATCTCCCATCAGAATAGTTAGGTCCTTCCTTGGGCATTTCTCAATAACTGACTGCAGCCGCTCGTAGAACTGATCTTTAATGTCGTCGTTGCTATCATTTGTGGGTGCATAACATTGGATAATATTCATTAAGATCCCCTCCTTCTTTGTTTTGAATGGTGCTTTGATGATTCTGGATCCGTGAGATTCCCATCCTACAAGTGCATTTCGTGCTAATTTGGACAGCATAAGAGCGACTCCCTGAGTGTGTGGAGCATTGTCCTCTTCGTGACCGGAGTATAGCAGCATCTCTCCCGTAGCTAGCCTTTTCTGTCCAGCTTGGGTCCAGTGGGTTTCGCTGATTCCCAGTACTGCTAAGTTGTATCTCCTCATTTCCATTGCTATTTGACTGGTCTTCCCGGTTTCCCACATTGTTCGAACGTTCCATGTACCTATAAAAATTTTTGCTCTGGTTGTTAGAAGGGGCATCGGCCTCTTGGCTTCCGAAGGAACTCGGCTTTCACCATGAAGTGTCATAATTCTTCTAAATGAAGACCTTCTAACTCCCAGGGCAGAGTTTAAATGGTTTGGATTATTTTTTCTGGTTAGCGTTTTTTTAGGGAGTTAGTTTTCTACGGGATGGGGACGCTAACCCCATGCCCAACCCTCCTCCTTTACCCGGGCTTGGGACCGGCAGTAACCCTATAAGAGCTACAGGCGGAGTTTATCATGCTAAAGATTGAGAGTTATTATCTTTAAAAATGGAAATTTTATCTAATTTAATTTTGAAATTAGTTTTTATTACTGGGGAGCTAATGCATCCTAACCTGGGACTTATCAGTTCTCAGTGAGATACATAATCCCACAAAGTAAAGGATCCTGAGCTTTCAAATGAAATTAGTTCTAATTATTTTCTAAATATTACGTTGTACACACTTACGGATTAACCAAGTGTTAAGCATTCAGTACTTCATCAATGGTTAGTGCATCTTAAATTTAGTTCAAGAATAATCCAGTTCAGTGATAAATAAATACTTGAAGGAAGTTTATAGTTAGTTATTTAATTATCCTCTCAACCTCCATCTCTTACCTACACTTGTGTCAAATCGTTGTGTAAGCTTAAAGTATGTTATGACTACGATAAACGTTTATAGAGTGCTAGATGGTTGAAGGCATTCTGTAAGAAGCTCTAAACTTAGGTTTGATACTAGTTGAGAGTCGTTTGGAATTTTTTATCTACACTCTTGAGAGGGCTGATGCTGTTCATAGAACTCGAGTTCACATAACTGATTGTCGTAGTCTGTGGGCTATTTGAATCTTCATTCACAAAGTACTGGACTTTCAAAAATAATTAATCAGATAGTAACAGTTGATTTCTGACAAGTGTTATCCAACAACAGACCGTGATCACTACTTCTAGTCATCTGACATTAATTAACTCTTAGTGTGGTATCACGTCACCCAAACGAACAAATATACTGCAGTTTGATTGATTGAGTTCAACCATTACTGAAGGTTATAAAATGTGATATTTGGCTATTAATAAGCATTCAGATAATGTTTTCTGAGAGTAATGTACGTGTGACCATCCGTAAAATCGTATAAATATTACCTTAATGATTGTCACAAAATGTCTAATTGTCTTCATTATTTTTTTTTATCTTCCTACGTTTCTTGATCGGTACTTTCTTTCATCCTGCACCTATTGTAGAAGAAGACTATTATCGTTCTGTTGGCAACCATCATCGAGTGTGTCAATTGTTTGATATTCTAGCTACTTATTGTATACATCACCCAAATATTGGATATTGTCAAGGTTAGTTGATCAGCTACTTCCTTTTAATTTACATATTATCAACATTCACTAGTAGAAATATTAGTATTATTATCGCTATCGACTGAATACGTTTATTGGGAATCATAGGTTACTGGATATTTGTTTGGTTTTTTTGTGGGACGCCCCGAATGTATATACCCATAAAATGTGAATGAACATCCACTAGGTTAAATGTTCGAACACTGCCTTGTGTATTTGATTCTAGTTACTGAATAGTTTATCTGTCAGTTTCACAAAATAGTCACAAGATCGTGTACGTTGTGCTCTTGGTCACAATATGCACAACTTCCTGTTAAATAACAAACAGTAGTCAGCCTACACAATTGTTAATTATCCTGTTTGATAATACTTTTATTATCTCATAGTTGATAATTACCCCGATAGCTCCAATATATAATTTTGGGAATATTTATCAAAACCATCCAGATATCTCGAAACTTGACAAATTTTGACTAGTGTTACTTTATCTTAATTGAAATTATTCAAGTATTATATAAAGATATGAAACTTAACAAAATTGCGTGACGTAGTGATATGGAGAGCCAATCAGAAGTAGTATTTATGCACTTTATTCGGTAGTCCAGTACACTTTCTCGCTCACTTTTGTGTTTTCGCTTAAGTAGTCTTTTTTAGAAAAAAAATGATTGTATCCTACTATTATCTACTTGTTTTTGAGTACCTTTGTAAATGAAACTGATCACTGAACGATATTAGTCTGTGTTTATTTATTTATAGTGACTAGCTACATATGTAATTGCTAGAAAAATTCCCATTTTAAATCAATGTAGGTTTTTCCTCGTTAGCTGTTAATCACAAATGTTTTCTTATTTTTGTAGGTATGTCAGATTTGGCCAGTCCATTATTAGTTGTTCAAAGTGATGAAGCATTGGCATATCTCTCGTTTTGCGCTTTAATGCAACGTGTTAAATTCAAATTTGGTGATACGCAGCAATCTATATTAATTAACAATATGCAAGATTTACACGATCTTCTAACGTATACAGATGGTGAATTAGCACAATTTTTCCGTGAACATAATTTAGCCAACATGTATTTTACTCAACGTTGGTTTGTCTTAGAATTAAAACGTGAATTTAACTTTGATGAATCTTTACGTATGCTTGAATCACAATGGGCTGCTTTATGTCTTATAAAAAATAATAGTTTAACTGAAATTGAAACTTGCAATTCTAAATCTGAAGGTTATCTTGTTTTAACTGATGGTACATGTAATTTGTACATGCCGAATTCTTCAATCACGTCAACAAATTCTCTTAACTGGTATCATTACACAGCAAGAGATGTTAGTCTAATCAATTCTTTAATAGGTTCAAATTATGTTGTTGACTTGAAAAAAAAAGGATGCACTACTGTGTTTAACCCAGACATTATTAGACAAGACCATCCATCTTCTGCTTCTCCCCCTCCTCAATTTATCCCTTCTGATGCCCACTTCTCATGTAAATTATCTAATAAAGATGATCATTCTGGAAATTCACAACAAACCTCATCTGAGACGTTAATTACAGAAACTCAATTTGAAATTATCTCTAATGAATCACTATTGGATTTTGCTGACTCTGTAAAAAAACAGTCTTTACATTTGACACCAACTAAACGACTATCTTCATTTTCTATTGAAAATGAACCTATTCATATTAGAACTAATGTAACACATTTACGACCACCGAATCAATTCGGTCAGGGTAACCCATTTCTCCTGTTTCTCAGTTTATCATTAATCTTAGAATATAAAGAGGTAATTATGCTAGAAATTAAAGAACCTGGAGATATTATACAATTCTATCAACAACAATCTGGTAAACATAATTGTTCTAGAATATTATATCGTGCGAAAAAGTTATTTAATAAATACTTAGAAGAAAATAATTTCCAATTTTTTAGTTAAACTTTATATACTAATAACTGTACAGTCGTAGAGAAAAAATCCAGCTAATACAAACTCACTCAACCATACATGACATTACTGTATTCTCATTTTGTATCATTATTTTGTTTTCTTTTAATTATTTGTTTGTTCGTTTTTTAATATTAACTTTGTATTGTTATAATTAATAATTTTGTTAATTAACCAACATTACTTCGAAACAGATCTTACAGTACAACAACAACAACAACCTATTTTCACTGTGATAATCAACATATCTATTTCTCTTTCAGATTTTGAAATAAAAATATTTTCGTATTTTTGTTGTGTTATGATCTTGCTTTTCGTATTGAAAACTGGTGTTAATAAAAATGTGTATTTAGATGATGATAATGAAATTTCGAAATATTGATAATATTGCAAAAAGATTTTTGAGGAAATATTGAAACTTCAGTTGGCCATTTACCGGTTGGAATATATTTCAAGGAATGTAGCTATGATCGTGCATTTGTATGCGTATCAGTGTTACTTGTCCTAGTGTAATCCGTTTGTAAAAAATAACACCTGTTTGTTGGTTATGTCACATCAATACCTGACCTAGTTTACCATAATCGAGTGTTTATTAATTACTTCATAATATAATTTAAATCATGAACCAATCAATGTTAGACCACCATTGAAAACCTGGAAGCACTGGATGGCCGTTTCGTCCTAGTAAGGGACTCATCAACAGGAGGATGGTCGTGCAATATAGTGGGTTAGTTGACGTTAAACATTAACACCGCTGGATGTCGACTTAGTGGACTAGAAGTTAAGCGTTCGTGCGTGAGACTGGAAATCCTGGGTTTGAGTCCCGAGTGCGTGATCGTGGATACAGATTTTCGACGTGATCCACACTAGGACGAGACGGTTGTCCAGTGCTTCCAGTTTTTCAAAGGTGGTAAAATTCAACAATGTCCACAACCCCATACTTCATAAGTGTCATATAAGTTGTTCACTGATTATGGTAGTTAACTAACCGTATCGAAATCCACAAAAAGCAAATAAATATACAGGGAGATTGTTCAACTCAAATGTACATTAAACAAATTGAATCTCCTACAAACAAATATACAGCTAAAAACTGATGGAAGATAAATTTAATAGATAAGTGGAGCAGTCATTTTGGCCTATATATACGTAGTAAATATCAAAAGATAAGTATGCATAAACCAGAGAATAAGTTTAACACTGGGCCGTCAGAATGTAGCGTCTAAAACGGAAGAATTTATATTCCTAAAGCTGTGTTTTATCAAAATCCACAGAATAAGATAGATTTACCCAGTTCATTAAAACACTACCACACTACGTGTTATCATTGGAAGAGTAATTCAGCACATCAGTACTCACATATAACTCCCCACGTAATTTGGTTCCGGACCACAATGCAATAAAGATACAATCGCTAGAACTTTTCCACTCTCATTCCAATACTTCAAGTATCACAATAGTGTACGGTTTAACCAGATAATAAGTCGAAGCAAGTATTGGCACCACACATTTTTCTGCTTATATCTAAATAGGTTAGATGGTGCTTGACTAAGTAACCTTGTAATGAACGAGAACAGGGGTGGGGACAAACGGATGTATTTAGCACAACAATTACAGTCTATTTCAACAATATATGAATACCATATATTAAATCGTCAATTTGCAAAATATTCACGCATCAAACCAAACTGGATAGTTTCTGTTACAAACACCAATCCATTGTTCATAGGTTTTCTTACAAATTCCATTATGTTCTCGCTCCACTTTTCTTGATCTTCGCCATCTTTTGCTGCCAGACATTACGTCCTTTTAACGCACGTTATACACTACTTATATCAATATAAGTAGCTCACACCACAACCTAACAGTTAAAAGTCGCTGCCTCCATTGAGGATTCCGTGGCCGGAGGAATTTGAGGACGGAGATGTGCCGGGATTCCTGAAGGAGTTTGAGTCCGTCGCGTAGCTGGTGCGAGTAAAGGAGTCTAAGGCGAAGATGGTGGTGCTGGGGACGCTGCTGAGACGCAGGGCAAAGGCTGTATGACAGCTTGGACAGTGCTGGCGGGAAGACAATATGCGAGAGTCACGGAGCAGTTGATCGCGGAGTTCGACTGGCAAGTAAAAAACACTGCAGAAGTTCCGGTTAGAGGAGTTGTGGGTTGATGGCGACCCACTGGTGCTGGCTATGGAGCTCACCAGGTTGTTGCGCTGCCGAATCCGGATGAAGTTGGGGTCGCAGTTTATCGAGTGTGCTTGTCACCGTTTCCTAGCAGCTGCAACTCGTAAACGCCGCACAACCTATGTATATCAGTGAACTGGCGAAAATGACTCGACAGCAGCTTCGGTCGAGTGTGGAAGTTAGGAAATAAAGTGTCAAAAAGACTGGGGAGCTGCGGCACTACGAGTGAGTCATAAAAGGAGGGGCAGGACACCGGAAGATAAGCTGTCCAAGACGAAGATATTCTAGAAATTATAACGCGTGTTTTTTCCACCTTAGGAATCTGAGGGGTTGTTGCACTTGAGACAGACGGGCAGTCTACATGAGAGTGGACATAAATGAACGAGATTTAGTGTGTCTGATTGATACAGGGGCAGCAGTATCGTTAACAGGCAAGGAGCAATGTAAGAGACTCCAGCTATGTACACTCGCAGTTGACACCATAGGATGGCACATGTTAAAGGTATTCGGTGTGCCTAACAGTATCGTAAGTGGGTGGTGCTGAGATAAATTCCCTGTTCGTAGTAGCCACAAGCTTATCGAGACCGATATTGGGAGCAGATTTCTTAAGTAATAGTTGATTTAGGAAGCGGCAAGGTGGTCGCAAAGTACGGTTCATTCCCAATACACGAAAGTAGCGAAGTGCCTGAAATAAGAGTGGCAACGGATATTTCAACGAAGAAACCAAACGTTGACGAGTTGTGAACAAAGTATACGAAACTGTCCGCTGGAGACGGAGAACCGTACGGATTTTGTGACAAAGTAAAGTACGAAATCCCGATAAAGAACGATCGAGTAAATATATTTGCAACACGTCGTGTCCTTGTGCATTTAGAGGCTGAAATGGATCCATATGTTGAAAGGTATAGTTAAGGGAAGCGAACAGTGCGTATAGCTCGCCGGTACTCTTAGTAAAGAGACCGAATGGAAAGTTTAGATTTTTTGTGGATTTTAGAAAACTGAAACCTTGTGCATTGCCAACAGTGATGAGAACACAAGATCGGCTACAAAATGCCTATAAAAGAGAGCGATTGAAACAAGGCCGCATTTACAATACGTGATAAACAATATCAATTTAAAAGAATGCTGTCTGGGTTGGCAGGTGCACCGTTTACATTCAGAAGGTTAATGACGCTACTGCTCAGGGGTCTAGATAACATCGAGGTATATGGGGACTATAGTTGTTTACAGCCGGACAGAAACAGATCAGTCTTAAAACGAATCGACGAATTCGGACTTCAAATTAATAAAGATAAGTCGCAGATAGTGAAAAGTAGCGTCACTTAGTTGGGACATAAAATGGGAAATGGGGAAATAAAACCACTGCCGGAGAAAATTCTAACCATAAAGAACATTACAGTTCTTAATTCGAAAAAGAAATCGAGACAGTTCCTGGGAAGGGCATCTTTCTAGAGTTGGTTTATAAGGAACTTCAACGATATAGAAGCACCTCTACATAAGTTTACGTGGACTGAGATTGCCCAGCAAACGTTCAACCGAATAAAAGACATGTTAGAGGACCCCTAGATGACAATCAGACTGCCTGAACTCGAGAAACCATTTACACCGACGCAAGTGATCATGGTATAGGTGCCGTTTTGAGTCAGGTTGATAGAGTGGTGAAATACGGGAGTTGCGTTATCATAACCACTGAACAGAAGTATTCAACGATCGAAAAGTAGTGTTTAGCAATCGTGTAGGCAGCAGACAAATGGAGACCGTACCTTTTAGGTAAACGACAACAAATTTAATAAGAGAAATGAGGGAGGCAATAAGGAACGCGGGAAAACAAATATCAGACATAAAGGAGGAACAGCGGGAGAGGATAGGGAAGCCTTTTGCAGTGAAAGACCTAGTAAAATGTAGAGAACGGAAAAGTAACATAGCAGGGGGATCAGGATCAAAAAAGCTGATCCCGAAGGAGGAAGGATCGTACATTGTCACGGAGAGACGTGACTCCGTTTACATATTTAAATAAGTGTTCAGTCCAATTCAAATACGAAATCAACTGTACTAAGTAAGAATGTCACTGTAAGATTACCACTTGATAGGTAATATAAAATAAAACCGTTCACAATACAATACATTTCGGTGTGTAACCTTTTCTGAAGTTTATGTCCAAAGTACCCACCATTTTAAAAACTGACATTTTACCATAAAACACTTATTGATCTAAAGTTTACTAGGATATTTTTGTTGAAACTTCGAGTAATTTAAAATTATTACAGACTGGTATCACCTAAAAGAACGCTAAAAATCAATAAACAGGTATTTTGTCCTGGTCTATGACTCCTATATGGGATAGTATCAAATAACTACAGATCTCGTGCTAAGTATAATTACTAATCCAAAATTTTAATTGTTTATTTAATTGCATAGATTACAAATCAAATACAATCCAGTGCTCTGTGAACATCTTGATTAAAAACAATTAAAACATTACGAATTAAATCTTGTTTATGTAATCCTCTGGAAACAAAATAAGTACCGTAAAACACAATTTTGCACTGTTATCAGTTCTCAAAGACAAAGTTGGTCAGTTATTTCACTCAAAAGAAATATTGAGTAAGAGACTACAACTAATATTTCTTTATTTTAAATTATTATTCATTTTTCGAGAAAAGTCACACTCAAAAATTCTTCATCTGTGCAATAAGAAATTAATGAAAATTACAAATTATCTGACTAGAACGATTAGAGATTGATAAAAAAAAGGACGGTAGGGAAATTCAGTGAAAAAAAAATGACCGTAAACTTCTTCGATCAGTAGATGGTGATGATGAAGAGAACTGTTGTCGGTGCTGTTTCAGCAGATTGACTACTTTATGTAAACAAATCGTATCTGTAAGCATTGATATAAATTCATTAATTAATTTATCTTTATGGGATTTCAAACCTTCATAAACCAAAGCTAAAAATACACGACATTCTAATTTTTTAATATAATATGTATGATTCAATTTCTCGTCATATACATAACGAGGTTGCTTTAAAACTTCACTAACATCAATTTTATCATCACCACTAAGATGAAGAGTACTGTTGATTTGCATAACAATTGTGTAAATATCAACCGGAGATAATGAGCTACCCTATAAAGAATAAACAAAAAAATCAAATTAGTCGTATCATCGTTGCAACTTTTTGTATTGTTATCGTTGTTATTCGCTAAATAGCCAACTAAGTAATAGATAAAAGTTCGAACATCATGAATCAACAATATTTCTACCTTTAAACATTCTAACTCATTTGTTATGACCTTGAGCAGTAAGCGCGTTCATAGACCGTGTGTTTATTCCTGTCAACATTTTGAATAACCAATATTTAACGACCAGATTTAAAATATTGGTTTATCTGTTATGTTAATTAGTAGGTAATAACAGAACTTAATAGTATATTCTACCAAATACGGGAGTGATGTATTTAGGAAACATTGGTTTAATGAAGTATAGTAAAAATTTCCGTTATACTTTCTAAAAGAAGACTTGAAATACTAATTAAATGAGAAGACGGAGCTCAAAGAAAACGGGTTCGAATAAATAAACTAATAGCTGAGGCTCAAATGCTTAAATCGCAGTACTAGAAGAATACCTTATTGATGTTTATTTGTGGGATGGATACAATTCATTATAATTACGAAATCAGGTGTTTTTTAATAAACTACAAGGTGACTGGCGTTCTGAAATATCAACGATTTGACGCTAACTTTAATTCAACTGCGCAAAGTATGTATGTGAGGTTGTTCGACCCTTATTAATATTTTAAATTATTAACTGGAAGCCATTTACAAGATATAATCTAAATGAATCACAAATTCTTTTTTTATTAATATGATTCACATATATGAAAACAATATCGATAACGAGTAATGCTTTTGCAGTAGTACATGGTGTATACACTTTTAGTCTACACTAAAGGCACAGAATCTACATCGAATTCTTTAGACTCCATATTTTTTGGTTACACTCAATGGTAACAGGATAGAGACGAACACAACACTGATGTTTAGAACTAATTGAAAACTATTAATCAATCGGTAAATTTGACCAACAATACTGGTTTATCTTGTAATTTCTAGTAGGTTTTTACACCGTACACTATAGTCATTTTAAAATAGCAACAATAACTGCATTTCGAATCGAAGTTCAGCACATGACGAGCCTATTAATTGTATTAGATGTTTCCTAGGCCGGAAACAAAATTAATTCAATAACAAATCTATATATGTTATAATCAGAAGAAAAAGTTATGTAAATGATAAAATTAAACAAATACAACAAATATTTTCCGCGTACCAACGGAGCATTAAAAATTGGTGGAATACTTTCAATTCCTTTTGGTGCATCACCAACAGAACCTCTCAAAACATAACCATGTCCAAGGAATGGAAATGACTGACAAGTTGTATCGAATAATAATGAGATATTTAGTGCATTAGATTCTCGTTGAAATCTTGTAATACTATAAAGGAAAAGAAAGTATGATTTGATCCATAGAATACGGAACAAGTGTACGATAATTTGTGCTGAATAGTGAAAAGTGAATTTATTTAGCTACATTTGTAGCACAACTCTATTACTAAGTGTGAAAAGCTTTGATTAAATTACAAGTTATACATCTGTTAAGTGTAAAAAGTTAGTATAGTTATGAGACAATAATATTAGTTTTTAGGCTACCTACAAACTCCTTATTTAGTGTATTAAAACTTAAGATAAATAAACAAGTAATTGCTAAGAGAAAATTCAACATGACAACAAAACCATTTAGTTTTGACAATCCGCAACACTATTTAACACTCCTTCGATTTGACCATGTGGATACAAAAGCAGTGAATTCATTAGAAGTAAACTTAAATGTTCAATAATTAAAAATAAGCTTACGGTAGTTTTAATTATCTATCCATGTAAATCAGGACCTGGTAGTCAACAGAAAAATACAGTACTTTTTGAAACGGATAAGAGGAGAGACTTCACTGAAATGTGTTACATGGTCTCGGAAAGAGGAACAGCAAATCAATTAGGTGAAGCATATCTCTCTGTGTCAGTAACATACCAAGCTTTTATTTAAATATATGAACATACCAAGTGAGAAGGATATTAGTTGATAAGGTCATAATTATCCAATGACTAAGATGAGTGACAAATATGCTGCCTATTTTTTTACAATTTCCAGGTCCACATACCATGTTGACCGAATGATTTCACCAGGTGGTCGAATGGATGAATTGGATTAACATATGCAAGGCTGGAAGGTTTAGAAGTGTAACAGCTTCATTCACTTTTCGAACGGTAAAACAAAAAACACAAGTATAAAACACCAGTTGTACGAAACAAATTCCAACTAACTAAATACACCTTACTTAGCAACCAGATTCAGATTTTCTGAGTTTGCCGTTTCTTCAATTTCGTGAACATTAAATGCAGAACGAACCAAGATTTCAAACCAGTATAAAGTATATTTACTGAGCAAATGAGCGTAAAAGCATTCAAGCCATGCTACAAGTGGTAACTGTTTACACGGTGAAGTACTACCCTGGAAAACAAGAACAAAAAACAGGTTTCCGTCAACAGTAAATATTTTTTAAAGTTAAAAGTGATAAGTCATCATTGGACGCAATGATCGATGATTGTGTAATACAGAGAGTAGATCAAAGTTAAACATGTACACCACTGGATGCCAATTCTGTAGTCTAGAGATTAGGTGTTCGCTAGAAGACCATGTCTGACTCTCTGTACGGTTGTGAATGAGCACTGTTGAGAAGTCTCAGATTAGGAGGGAATAGTTGTCCAGTGCTTCTTAGTTCTTAATAGCTATTTAACTGCGATCATTCAGTGATGAAAACTATGGGAATAATAATAATATAATGAACTACAATCGAAATGAGACTAAGAATGAGAAACATTACGTCAAACTAAGTAGATAAGCCATTAAATTGAACGAAATGAAAACAACAGTTTAGAGTTACACAACAACTTTTATCATACGATGCAGGTTGACAATTGAGGATATGAATTTTACTAAAAGGATGCAAAAATCTCAGACATAAATATACAAATAATGTTCAGTATACTAAAAAAAACTGTATAAAGGCGGTGATAAAAGCCAATAAAACGGCGAGCCGGAATGCATGAAAACAAAGATAATGCAGTGACGGGTAATCACATTACAAACCATCACCACAGATTTCAAACTTCTTGCGGAAAAGTGCCAGTAGACTATTTGTTTATGATTTCTTCCTGACACTATCTAAGAGATGATGAAAGCATAATGATCAAAACAAATAACTGTGAAAAAACATAGTTTAAATGATCCTACAGAATTGCCATTTAGGCATTTTGAATTTAGGTCTTCTTAAGTAAAGGCAAAACTTAAAATATGGCCAGTTAAAATCAATTAGTCGTTGGGTTAACTATGTGGAAATTTGACCTCAAAAACTTCATACCTCAGTGAATTTATTCGAAAAGTAACATTACATTTACTATTCAACCATTCACTTGACAGCATATAATACATACACTAACTGCATCCTTATGGAATATGTATGGATCATTGTGTATTAAAAGAATAAACTGGAAATACATGCTTCCAGTGGTTCGGTAGCGAACTGCATTATTTATTCGAGACGAAACAATCCGTTCTATTGTATCATCGCCTATATAGTTCAATGTTTAGTGAAGAAGCACTAAAAACAACGAATAAGGAACCTTTTCCTGAAGCCAAAATAAAAATGAGGGAGATTATAGAAGCTTTAGCAATATATAAACTGGATGAGCCAAAACTGACACGTTCTTGTACTGACCCAAGATTTCGCAACTCCAGTTTCAATGCAGTGAACAAGACTAACTTTATCCTCTTCTTCCCTAACCCGTTAACTAGAGTTAGGAGTTCAATTTCATAATGGAAGCATTGTTGATTATGATCGCAGCAGAATTAAGATTACAACTGTTAATCAGTTACAATGAGTAGAATTTATGAGCTAAGTTATCTCTAAACACAAATCATAGTAAACATGCATTTAAAGTTCATAAAGTAATGAAACAGAAATGTGTTGAAAGTCGACTATACATTCATCTTAAATCAATACTGACTTCCTCCCTCATAGGCTGTATTTAAGGATCGTTCATACCCAACAGAAACATTATAAAATAATCAAGCACTACTTTTCCAAAAGCTAATCAATATGCCACAAAAAAGTGGATTCATATGTTATTATGAAATCTCCTAATTAGTCTAAGTTTAATACTTCTTTAAATAATAATATACATAGAAACACTCAGCTAACTTAATTATAACTAATTTTTTTTCATTAAGAACTGAAGTACTGGTAAGTAGAACACAAGCAGTTTAGCTAGCACAAATATACAGATTGTAATACATTATCTAGTTAGTAATAATTTGAGACTAATTCCTTGAATTGCCAAGGCAAAGTTCAACGCGTCGAAAATAAGGCTGGTTATTGTAAAACTCTCGTAAAAGTCACAAGGGTACTGTTATGTAAACATGGTAAGTTAAACTAATTAATAGATCATTACAACAATCTCGAAAACAATATGATTAAATAGTGGTCTTATAAATATGCTACACAATAAACCTTCGAGTTATAAACATAGTGAGCTTATCTCATCTGAAATGTCAGGCTCGACAAAATTCGAATCCCAATAATGAATTTTGAAAATATTTACATCAACAAGGTCCCTTCTATCTAACACTATCGTCGATCCATAACGGAAAATTAATGTTTTATTTCGATCTTTATTATCATCACATAATGACATCAACTAAAGAAGTAATGGATTCAGCGGACCGATTGAAAAACTGTCATGTTGTACGTTTGTGATGCAAATGTTAATGAATAATGAATTTCACTCATGTATCATCGTAAAACTGATATTTTATTGGTAATACATTATCAAAGTTACACTTGACGTTATTTCTAAAACAAATAAGTGAAACAGTAAGCACACTTACTTTAGAGTTCAGAAGTTTACCTAGTTTGTCTAGATTATCTTTTGCTCGATTTAAACTAAGCAAAGATTCCAAAAACATGAGATCTGATATTGCAATTTGAGCACTAAGCAATTCGTGTAGTACGACTACTTCTAGTCTAAATAAGAGAACAAATTCGTAATCGAATAACAACAATAATAATAATAAGCTAACTTGATTGATTGAGATATATGGAAAAATGCTTTGGTAAGTTCATTTTCAGTAACCGAAAGTTGGTTTAATATACTTTTGAGAGAACTGATGAGTGACGAACAGCTTGTAATAATTAATAGGGGATTTTCTGCAATTTTTCGATATCTAACAAATATTTTTAAGTAGTAAAATAGCAAAATGTATTTTCATAATCAAAAAAATAAGAATGATGGCACTTATCTGCATAATACAATTCTTAGAGAATTATACAAATCCATTAATATTAAATAAGCTTGTACTTTAAAACGCAAAATAAGAACTACAGAAATTCACTTATGATTACAACAGCTTAAATAATAACAACTCAAAGACCAATTATTATTAATCCAAATTAACGATCAAAAATTGATCCATCTACTCGGCTTTGAAACACGTATAAGGATAACCTATATAATCTAAAGCTTAAGCCGGAGTAGAGTTAGATCTATAACTCAATGATTACAATTCAAAAGGGCGAGATAATAGTTTATTGAACGAGTCAATCAGAAGCGAATGGGAAAATTCAAGATCGTGTCGCTTACTTTAATACACAATGCTCGTGCATAATCGGTTTATAGTGGATTCTAAAGATGTTATAGTTGAGCGGCTACAACAAATTTAATTACTAATAAGCCCCTTTATTTGTGATCGCGGTGTTAAAATGGTGGCTGGACATTGTGCAGAGTACCGCGACGATGTTGTATTTTGACCTAATATAAGTGCTAGGACGACGAACGTTTTCACTCGATCCTGGTTGAAACTAAGACGGATTATGATAATTGTTGTAAACTGGATAATAGGAGCACCGGCTAAGACCTCTGAAGATGTTACTGAAACTTCGGGAGTTTAATGGTATGAGCACTGTCGAGATATATGTGCAATGAAGATGACGAGTTTGAATCAATCGTCTGGAGGAATTAGAATAGTAGAAATCGACAAAACAGTCGTTAGAAAACGAAAATTCAATATAGGAAGAAGTGTTAGAGAATACTGGGTAATTAGCACTTCCTTAAGTATAATTGGCAGGTCTTTGGTATATACTATAGATCATCAAAAGAGAAACGCTATATACACAGACGACTAGAGAGTATATCGACGCATATCTAGACTTGGTTACGTGCACCGTGTCGCTGTTCACAAGAGACATTTTGTAGACCCCTCCATGGGAATATATGCCAACAATATTGGAGCAATGTGGTCTAGGCTAAAAGAACTTTGGGGACCTTATCATGGCTACAGAAACCATGGTTGTGTAGCTACATAGATGAGTTCCTGTACCGTATGCATTACAACTTAAAAACTGTAGAGCCTCTTTCTAACCTGGAAAAACTTTTAAACCACGTTAAAGAAGTGTATTCACCTTAACTTTTTGGTTTTGTATAATATATTCTTACTAAATATCAACTATTTACTAATCGGCTGAAACTTAATTAAGATTTGTTCAAAGGTCATTCTTCAGTTATAGTTTCGACACCATAAGTAACTTTTATAGCATGTGAATATAGTTGTCTTGTACTAATCTATCAAGAGATACATCCAGTCACACTGCTTTCAGCTGTTTGTAAGATGTACAGCAAAATAATACAAAACGTATCTGATACAAAAAACTGCTAAGTTATCAAAAAATATATTTAATGGATTCTGTTAAAGGTGGTTTAATTAATCTGTGAAAATATCGACTGTGATACGCACCTAAACACTTAATTCGTAACGTGCATCCCTTAAAGCACCTTGTAGATGATTTAAGTCCGCATGGAGATATCAACTGCTATTTTACACTTTCTTTCGAGCTTTACATGAGCCAGATAAAGAGAACAGTGTAGTAACGCATCACCTCCATTATGGAAGATCAATGAACCATGAAATATAAATCCACCATTTGATTCCGCACATAATATTTGGGGTAACGTCAGTGGGTAGTGGTGGTGGTGATGAAGTCTATAAAGACACTATAACAATGCACAGTGGATGGTTTATAGCCAAACTATTAGCCCCCAAATGCCTTGGTACGCTCGACGGTAAGAAGAGCTCGCTCTCCCTCTCGAAATGCTCTCATGTACCCACGCGTATACAGCCACTGTCAGAGAGGTTTTAATCACTGCCTTCTCGCGCCACGGGTGTTGTTTACGAAATTGAATGGTCGAAAAGCGAATATCCGGCGCTTTAACCGGGTTGGTCGATATGGAGTATCCAACTGGTGGGGTTGGAAAACCTTGATTTCAAACCAGTGGTGCACATGGGTCTTAGGATCCTGAGGAAACAAATGGCGTATAGACCAATTATCGGTCATCGACCACCATGAAACTGTATCTCATGACGTCGCTCCACTGCCTTGTGGTTCTGACAATGAGGTCAAAAAATTCGAGTGTGGCCCCCTAGGAAAACCACCTGCTTCCGTCTGGGCACCCGGCCAGTATCACAGCCCATACACAAATCAAGTGACTTGTGCTGAGCATATGTATTCAGGGCCCCTTGTATCAATATTTATGTGATCAAATAAATTTTGTTCACTTCAGTCAAATAAAAATCTTTATGCCACCGAATGAATGTATACCAGATAAAAATAAAGGCACCGAATCCTATGGATCTAACGCAAGGTGAAAATCTATGTATAAATTCTATCTAGGTGATACCTTGACGCAACACTAAAGTTTGCTTACCACAACAATTAGATGGACCTAACAGCTTAAAATGACTTGAACAACCTGACTAGTTGCTATATAAGAAATCACTATTTGAACTAAAAAAAAATAATTTAAAGGTACACTATTTCTCAAACAGTAACTCCGCTTATTTGTATGCAATAGCGAACTATTTGCACTTCCTGATAAATTTTTAAAAATATAAAAAGGATACAATGATATTAATTGTCCTCTGGATCCAGTTAAAATTTGCATATATACAGAAAAATAAAGCTCATTATTTGACAAAGTAGGATTGTTGAATACACTGTCAAAACCAGCACGTAATGAGTTATATGATTCTAAACAGTCCTGTTGTACTTAACAATGTGACAGAATGTTTACCTCTTTTCGTGAGAATAAAGATCTATTAGGAAATATGTCGAGAGATACATAATCTCGTTCAAGTCGACAAAATAAATATAGTGCTTCACTGTAAGTGATTTTCGAATCACCAAACACTAGTTTACCAGTAAGCGGTACCGAATTCTGTGGAGAAATCAAAATAAGATTATACTTACTAACAGAACTTTTTGATCATCTAACTTAGCAGATAATATACACCGGAAGAAACTGTCTAGCGATTCTCTGATACATTGTGACTGTGATGTGTTTCCCGACATCTGGAAAATATTAGAGAAGAATTAAACTAACTAACAAAAAGGAATAGGAAGCAACCAAAGTCGAACATTGAAGATTTCCCTAAACTAGAACGAGAAGTTTGCCTGTTGATAAAATTCAAGAAGATAAACCAGAATTGCCTTCCTGCTTATGTACATTTAAAGTCACTAACAGGCAATGTGATTAACATCACGATCAAAAAAGCAACAACAAAATTATAATTTAAATGGTTTAAAGTCAAAGATAAAAAGCAGCAAACCTTCCTTTAGCGTTGATGGGGCAGAAACACCTTGGCTTTATTTTAAAAGATGTATCAAATTATTTACATTAAAATACTTTATCTACACATTAGAAAGAAGTAGCTGTACTTTATCAACGCCATGTAAGCTATTAGTGTGTACACAGAAATATCAGGTCAACCTAATCAGTACTTCATGCCTTGATCGCCTGGAACCATACGAAATTGGGGAATAAAACTCATCGATTGCTTTGTAAACACTAGGAGTGTGGCTAGAGATCTTCATAATTTATTCAAAACATGAGAATATTTAACGAGAGAGGATGTTTTTTCACTATCATATGACAGCTAGACGATAAGTAATGTTTTTTTATTATCTGCATGTACAGTGAACACCAAGAAGAGCAAGAAGTATTATAAAAATACAAAACTTGAAACTGCAGGGATTTCTATAGACACCGTAGGCAATTTCCCTATTTTGAAGTGTCCATTTTTAGGAAGTGACACAAAAACTTGAAAATGTCCCCAGGTCTTGAGAAAACCCAATTTTGAGGACATTCCCAAGGATTTCGGGGAAATTTTGGGCTTTCTCTGATGCTTCTCTAGAATTTTGTGACACTACAGAAATCCATCCATATTCATTGATAAAACCCTGTTCTTAAGATTTTAGGGAAACTGCACAAGATCTCTCAAAAGGTATGCAAAGAAGTACCATAATAATAGCAGCAAAGCTAATTATACTGACATCTATGACGTTAAAAACAATAGCAACAATGACAACAAAAATAGCTGATCCTCCGAATGTGAGGGCTTTTAGAGAAATTCCTCCCTAGAACAAGAAAACCGACTGCAAACCTTGAGAATTTAACAGGCGAAATAAAACCTCTGGATATATTAAGATTTTGACACTATTTAAAGACCGAATTCTAGTTTTACAATCCGTGACTTAATAAAAACCTGGCGCGGTAGACCTCAGCATCAAAATTACCCCTTTTTCGTTTTAACGACCTTGAGTGTCTTGCGGTCATCAGTCTTTAGTAATAAGGATAGTAGGTTGGTGAACCTGTGTTAATCCTGACAGATTGCTTTCCTGTGAAGGTCCAGCTTCTTCTTGAAAGTATTCACTGCCATACTCCAAGAACAGATGTGTCTTAGGATAAAGTCGTCAGCAAGACAAAACGGACTACGGTATATTCCCCTCATAGTCACTAGCCCATTTCTGGATTTAATCTTACAACATGCTACCTCACCTGTGCCACTGATATGAGCCTCCGATATTGTTGATTGTATGCGGAAGTGATCCCTAACGTATAATATTATACTTCACTCTTTGCGACTTGAAACTCTATCACTTCTAATACAAATATAGCCTACAATGAAAGAATTGTATATATATGTATATATATATATATATATATATATATATATATATATATATATATATATATATACTGTGAACCAAGTTTCTGTAACAACGATTATATCGGGACATAATTCTTCCATCATCAGGCTTAGCTCTGACGTTTTATTTCTAAGACTACGAGCGTTTGTGTAGCACAAACTTAGGGCGTTTTGGCAATCATTCGTTCTACCCGTACAGGCCTCGGAAGCATCGGCTTCCAAGATATGACTACCCCAAAACCCTTAATGGTAAGGTCAGTTTCACCATTGAACTAGCGAATTCTCAACTCCGTAAGCGCATTTTTCCACTTGATTCGACCTCAAGCGGACAATCTGGTCGGATACGAATATTTTAATCACGAATGTTTTGTGCGTTTTTCAATACCATATCTCTTCAAAATTCCCGAGAACCAGCTTCAAGATCGTTCTTGGTTGAGTCTCACCTCCAACCCATTAACCAAGTCGTATTACTTTCGTGATATATACCCCTGAAACCTCTTCAGGTAGTACGTTTATTATCACAGATTCCAATAACTGCAGATCATGTGCACGTCTCTTGTCTTTCGGCTCCTCTAGATTCCAAATAATTAAGAAAGATAGGAGTATAGCTTCATTTTAAACCATGTTCTTGGCTTTCGTTCGTGACGTCAGAACCTGTATATCAAATACTGTTATCTTACCTACTGACTTACGTACGCCTGTTACTCCCAATGGAGCATAGGCCGCCGAACAGTATTCTCCAACCCACTCTGTCCTGGGCCTTCCTTTCTAATTCCATCCAATTCTTGTTCATTTTTCTCATGTCTATCTCCATTTCACGGCGTAATGTGTGGTTTGGTCTTCCTCTCTTCCTTTAGCCTTGAGAATTCCATGTGAGGGCTTGCCTTGTGACGCAGTTGGGTGCATTCCTCAATGTGTGTCCTATACACTTCCAGCGCTTCTTCCTGATTTCTTCCTCCTCTGGGATCTGGTTTGTTCTTTCACACAGCTGGTTGTTGCTTATAGTGTCCGGCCAACGAATCCGGAGTGTTTTGCGTAGACAACTGTTAATAAACACTTGTATCTTCTTATGGCTTTAGTGGTTCTCTAAGTTTCCACCCCATTAAGTAAAACTGTTTTGATATTCGTATTGAGAATTGTTACTTCGATGTTGTTTGACAGACAGTTGTCTTGAGTTCCAGATGTCCTTCAGTTGTGAATATACTGCTCTTGCTTTGCCGATCCGCGCCTTCACATCTGCATCAGATCCACCACCGTGTTCATCGATGATACTGCCCAAATATGTAAAGGTTTTAACATCTCCCAAATCTTCTCCGTCAATCGTGATTGAATTGGTGCATGCTGTGTTGTATCGGAGAACCTTGCTCTTCCCTTTGTGTATATTGAGACCTACTGCTGCTGAGGCTGCTACTACATTGGTCGTCTTCTCCTGCATTTGTTGTTGCGATTGCGATGGGAGGGTCAGATCATCTGCGAAGTCTAGATCTTCTAACTGCATCCTAGATGTTCACTGTATCCCGCGTTTCCCTTCAAATGTTGACGTCTTCATGATCCAGTCGGTCACCAGGAGAAAGAGAAAGGGTGAGAGTAAGCAACCTTGCCTGATACGGGTCCTTGCCTCGAACGAGTCTGTCAATTGTCTTACATGCACGATTTTGCACTTTAATCCATCATATGAACTCTGTATGATATTGACTACCTTCTGACGTACACCGTAGTGTCGAAGGAGCTTCCATAGTGTTGTTCTGTCCACGTTATCAAATGCTTTCTCGCAGTCAATGAAGTTGATGTAGAGAGATGAATTCCTTTCAATTGATTGTTCCACAATGATCCGTAGAGTTGCGATTTGGTCTGTACACGATCTATCCTTACGGAATCCTGCCTGTTGGTCACGAAGTTGGGCGTCTACGCAGTCCTTCATCCTGTTTAACAATACTCTGTTGAAGACTTTTCCTGGTATTGAGACAAGAGTGATGCCCCTGTAGTAATCACAGATGCTGAGATCGCCTTTCTTTTGTATCTTGATCAGGAGTCCTTCTTTCCAATCTGTTGGTACTTGTTCTTCATCCTAAATCTTGCTGAAGAGAATGTGGAGTATCCTTGCAGTTGCCGCTACGTCTGCTTTCACTACCTCTGCTGGAATGTTGTCTGGTCCTGCTGCTTTGCAACTCTTGATCTGTCTGATGACCATGCTCATTTCTTTAATTGTTGGTGGGCCAACATTGATTGGGAGGTCCATGTGTGCTACTTCAATGTTGGGTGGGTTCAGTGGAACTGGTCTTGTTCGGATGGTATTGATCACTGCCTTCTTGTTCCTCCTTTCTTGAATCTTATCCAGTGTGTCAACAGTAATCTTTTTCTTGTGGCGGTGGTTCTTGTGGCCCAGAACCTCACGACATGTTCAAGTGATTGCCTCTTTTATCCCCTTCCAGTTGCTCTCCATAGTAGTTCCTTCTACATTTAGTACATTATGAAAGGCCTGAAACCTATTGCTGAGGACTATATTGAATTCGTTGTGTTTGCCAGTATCCCGAAGCAAAGCCGTATTCAACCTTTGTGCTGTTTCTCGCCCTATTGTCCGGTACTTCTTGAGTTTCAATTGCTTCTTGGCTACCATGTGAGGGTTCTCACGTCTTCCATAGTCCTCCTGAACATTTTGTCGATGCAGATATGTCGATTTGATTTTGCGTAGTGTGATCCGGTGAAGTTCATATGGTTTTGTAGATACGTTTATGTGGGAATATGGTGCCGCCTATAACCAGTTTCTTGAACGCACATAGGTTTTCAAATCTCTCACCATTTTCGTCCCTTTTTCCCAGTTCATGTCGTTCCATGATATCTTCATATCCGGTATTATCCATTCCAACCTTGGCACTTAGGATTCTGTGGGAATGATCAAGTCCTTTGTTGGAAACTTCTCGACAACTGACTGCAGCCTATTGTATAACTGGTCGATAACGTCTTCTTTGTGGACGTTGGTAGGCGCGTAGCATTGGATGACGTTCATTGAAATGCCATCTTTCCGTGTTTTGAAGGAGGCTTTGATGTTCCTTAATCCATGAGATTCCTATCCTATAAGTGTATTTTGTGCTTGTTTGTACAGCATCAATGCAACTCCTTGTGTATATGGGACATTTTCTTCTTCATGGCCGGAGTATAGCAGAAGCACCCCTGAAGCTAGTCGTTGTTGTCCAACTTGCGTCCAATGTGTTTCACTGATCCCAAGCACCTCTAGGTTGTATCTCCTTATTTCTGCAGCAATTTGGAAGACTCTCTCAGTCTCCTACATTGTACGAGAATTCCATGTATCTAAATAAATGCTTGCTTTGGTTGTCAGAATGGGCACAGCCTCGTGGCTTGTGA